TTTTAGTTTTAGTTTCGAAGATTTGGCAAAAAGAGAGTAAAGTAGTTTGAGTCGTTTGTTAAGTGTCATGCGTTTCATTTTAACATGTGGGCCCCATGTCATCCTTCTGTCGAAGGTGAGTCCAAGGTAAAGTACAGTGTCCGTTTGAGGAATTTGATTGTTGTCAATATAAACTGGAGGACAGGTGTTTTTTCGAAGAGTAAATGTTATATGTTTGGATTTGTCATGATTAAGTCGAATTTTCCATAGTGTGAACCAATCTTGTAGTTTAAGCAAATGATGTTGTAGAGTTAGTGAGGCCTGTGTAGGGTCTTGATGTTTTGTGAGGATTGCTGTATCGTCTGCATATGTAGCTGTCAAGATATCATCGTCAATAGGTATATCGTAAGTGTATATAACGTAAAGTAGAGGGGCTAGTATTGAACCTTGGGGAACTCCGGCCAAGATTGGATGGACTGAAGACACTTCCGAGCCCTGCCGAACTGAAAAAAATCTGTCGAAGAGGAAAGATTGAAGAATAAGATAGTAGGTGTATGGAAGTATAGTCTTAAGTTTAAAGAGAAGACCCTGGTGCCAGACTCTATCAAACGCCTGAGCAACATCCAAAAATACTCCAGTTGCATATAGTTTTTGTTCTAAAGCTCCAGCAATGTAGTCTGTAACTCTGTGCAATTGATGTGTCGTCGAATGGAATGTGCGAAAGCCGAATTGGTGGTCAGGTATTACCTGTTGGTCAGTCAATATGTCAACAAGTCTTTTGTATATTAATTTTTCAAAAACTTTAGAGCATATAGGAAGGAGACTAATGGGTCTGTATGATGAAGGACTGTCTTTACCGGGTTTGTGAATCATCTTAATAAGTGAGTATTTCCATTGTAAAGGGAATTTTGACGTCCTTAGTATACAGTTGTAAATTGTTGTCAGAAATACTAGAGCTTTCTTGGACATTTGTTGGAGTGCTTCGGCTGTTATTAAGTCATAACCAGGAGCTTTTCTTTTCGGTAATTGTTTGATTTGAAGTGCAACCTGAGATGGAGTAAAAGAAGGAGGTGGTAGTGTCAGCTGAAGTGGGATGTCTAATGTGTTAAGTACCATAGTCTCATGTTCTGTGTTAGTGAAGTTTGTAAACGGTTTAAATACAGAAGAAAGGTGGTGAGCGAAGAGTTCAGATTTTTCCTCATCCGACACGGCCCAGGATCCATCTTCTTTTCTAAGTGGTGCTGACAGCTCTCGGTGCTTTAACAACTTTTTGGTATGCTTCCACAAGCTCCCATCGTCAGTAGAAAGACCACTGATGTATGCGTCATAGTTAGTTCTGTTAAATTTTTGGATTTCTCTTTTAAGTTGATTGTTTAGTCGGTTAAATGTCTGTCTATCTGAAGGGTGTCTGTCAGTCTGCCATATTTTACGCGCTCTTCTCTTTGCTCTATATAAATTAAATTACAAATGTTCTTAGTTTACACGTAACCGCTATCTCCGAAAGTTCTTCGTCGAATACTTTGAAATTTTGACAAAATCTGTCTATTGGGTTCATGAGTGTTTTATATACATTTAATACTACGTGGCCTTTCGTTTCTACCAGGCGGTCGAAAACTTGTGTCGTTATAGACTGTAGCCTAAACGGCTGGTGCGATTTTAATGAAACTAGGCAAAAGTCTTCTTAAAATCCTTTTAATTTATGTATATAACAAGTTTCTCCGAAAACAGGGTGGAAAAAAAGTTACTCGGGTTCCAGAACTATATTTCAGAATAATGCAAAAGCACAAATTATTTTCTACTTATACCCATACTTATTTTAAAGCTTCTTGAATTCACTACAAATTAAAAAAAATCTCAAAATCAGACGATTCGGTGGCGGCATAAAGCGTTTTAATCATTTAGTAATTTTTCTTCTGCTAAGACGATTTCGTTTATCTTTGTTATTGATTTATCGAAAACTTTACACTTAATCGAATCATTGAATTATCATTTGAAGAAGTGATCTAAGAACTTCTTATCTAGGTAAACATTAGCTTCAATTTTAACGTTTTCCCTGCGTACGGAAAGTATCAAGATACTTATCGAACACGTGGGCTTTCTAATATTTTTCTTTTCCATTTAGCCAGACTAAGCCGCAGAAACGCTTTGGTGTAGACCTATTATGACATCTTTCTGCGCCTTCCTCTGGCGGTTGGGTACTCATATATTTGGTTTTGACATTTTGTCTTTAGTCCCAAGTCATCTGCAAGTCAGAAAACTTGAGTTAATTTGTTTAATATGAGAAAGGCAAAGCTATCTCTTGACTCCAAAATCACTTGACAGTTTTCCAACTTTCATACAAAGCAAATCACTTTTACTAAAGAAATGAGGGATGTTTATTTCTAACATTGCCATATTTGCTTCTTTCTGTTATGAAACTTATGCTTGTTTAAAATCAATGCACAAATGATGAGTTTGTTTCTGAAACTCACCTTTCTCCACTAAAATTCACTATTATACAATGTTATTAAACTATTGGGTATTTACAAAAAATTATATTCCGACCTTAGAATGGATAAGTTTTTTATATTTAGAAAACTATTTCTGTTTTAGTTATTTCTAATTCGATTGATGATGAACAGTTGTAGTCCTTGTTCTTTGGAATACCAGGTCATGTTTGGGAGGCGGAAGGTCTATCACTGAATGATGATTTTCCCCTTAAAGGATGCTATAAAATGAATAAAATTTAATATTTTGAGAAGACCCAACATGTGGATGCTTCTAGCGGACAGAGGTTCCTAAAAAGGTAAATATTTTCAAGCAGGAAGGTTTTATTTCGAGATTGCAAGGTTGTCTAAACAGGACCTCTTAAGAAAGGCTGAAAATCCAGTCCTCTGGAATATGAAGATTTTACAGAGAATAAACACTGAATCTTCACAGTCATAGAGGAATCTATGCTGACATATGCTTCAGATGGATTTCTGGAGACATCACCAGGCTGTATAAGATTAGGAATGATGTAATTCATCAGAGGATAGATGGGACATCAAATGAAAAGATTGGTGCACACTTCCTAAGATAGTACGAAAATCTAAAAAGAATGTTTGTTTTTTTAAACAAAAGTAAGCTCAATTTTACCACTAAAAAGTTCTCTTTAAATGGTTTAAATAATGAAAAACTCTTCTTTTATTTGAAATAAATTTTGTCTAGTTTTTATGTGAAGCAATTGTTAATTATTTAAATTGAAAAGATTGGTGCACACTTCCTAAGATAGTACGAAAATCTAAAAAGAATGTTTTTTTAAACAAAACTAAGCTCAATTTCACCACTAAAAAGTTCTCTTTAAATGGTTTAAATAATGAAAAACTCTTCTTTTATTTGAAATAAATTTTGTAGTTTTTATGTGAAGCAATTGTTAATTATTTAAATTAAATATTTTGCTGCCTCAATAAGGAAGCATTGTGTTTGTTCCTGTGGGAGATTAAAGAATCGAAAAGTTCTACTTACGTTTTACCTTCCAGACATCAAGGATCAAATTTGGTTCGGTTTCTGTCTGGCTGCAGTCAAATCAATGTAAAGGGCATATCACCTACTACCTTTATCCGATTTTTATGAAATTTTCAGGAATTGTACGGGTTGGTGTCTAGGTGGTCCCATATCAACTTTATTAAATTCTAACCAGCACTTCCGCTTACGCACGCGCGAACTCATTTTTGTAGATAAGCCAATATTTCAGAAAAGGCTTGCTCATTTGGCTCAAAGTTGGATAAAAGGTAGATAGATATTGGTGAAAAATTTAGTGTCAATTTTATTGAATCCTGTTCACTAGTCTCTCTTATATATGCGTGTTGCTGTAGACTGCAGCGCCTAAACAATGTACCTATTTCAATAAAACTTCCCTTGTCATTTTCTGGATGCCCTTAAAATTGATCTATTTAACATACTTCAAGGAAAAGAAGCTGGAAAAAGTTGGGAGGGATGGTAAAATTAAATGCCGAATAATTCAAGAGTATACACTTTTTTTGTCAATATTGGTATATGGTTTTTTAAAAGTTTATGGAATTCCCTAAAAAAAAAAAAACCCGTTAAAATCGGACAATTAGGAGCAAAGAAATGGTCTCTAGGTTTATAACAGATGTTCTGCTACAAAGGTAATATATCTTTTGTTTTTTAAATTTTGAATGTGTCACTGAAGTAATGCTATTTTTTTTTATTTTTAGCACATTACTAATAGTTAAAAAAGTTTAGTCCAATAATTGGAATCCCCTTTTATGTATTTTTCTTTTAAACTAGGAAGGTATTGTTACTTTAGATGTATAGATGTTTCGAAATAATATACCATTGTGAAAATATTTGCGTTTTTTTCTTCTTCAAATTAATTATAGTTATATGCATATGAAAGAAAAATCTTTCAAACTGAAGCCACCTTCCCAAAATTAAATCTGGATCCGCTAGTGTGTATCACTACTATTAGTGCAAAAGGTCTAATGTAAAATTTTTCAACTTTTATTCTATTTGTATTAAAGGTGACATTTTGTAGTCTGCAACTGATATCAGTAGTCTGTTACTGTCACCTCTTTGAATATTTCATCTTATGTACCTGACACCCTCATTATCAACTAATATAAAAGCTTCAGAAACAATGATTGACAGTATTTTTAAAAAGAGGACACCCTCAACTTGACAGAAATAAAATTCAAGGCCCCCCTTTTAGAACATTTTTGTTTTTGGAGCTATCTGTGCTTGTGACGAAACACTATACCATTCATGCTCTAATTGGAACAATGAGCAACTCAGCAGCCTTGACATAACAGTTTCAGTGAAAAACTGGCTAATGTAAACTACAATTGTATCTTTTAAATCATATGAGAAAGGTTAGTTTAATTTTCTAATGTAACATTTTATCATTGAAAGCCTTATAGGTAAGGTATGATATAAAACATTAATTTATACCTATCATAGGACTGGTATTTTATTTTGATTAATTCAATATAATCATTACTACATTCATTTTCACATCTTTACAATGCACAAAGCATTCAAGAACATGGTAAATAAAGAGTTGTCAATTAAAAAAAGAGAAATATTTACATACATCTATTTATTTAAAAAAAAGGAAGAAAACATCTAATCACTGTTTATTACAAGATATAATTAAAAGTATTACAATAATACATAAGTTGTCTAGTTGGATATATCCTGGGACTAACCTGGAAAAAAAACAAAACATTTAAATACAATAATTAAAATTCAATCACATTTAGAATAAAAATATGGAAGAAGTTTTTAATAAAACAGGAGTTTAAAAAAAATACAGTAAATGGCCAGTTGTACCACTACCGATTTAAAACAAAAATAAACAAATAAAAATTAAAATAAATAAATTATTGGAACCAATTAAAGCCAAAAACTGATATTAAATAATCAACTATATTTCAACCTGAAATTGAATGTACTATATACCTTCCATTTGTATGATGGACGTACCTGGTCAATAACTTCACTCCTTCATAATCTGTTAGAAAAGCACTTAAAAAACTCTTTAAGACCAATTTAAAAAAACAGATTTCAAAAGGGCTTCACAGATAAGAATTTTAAACGATATACACTTTTTCTAATAAAGAGAGAGGAATTATATCAATTACAAGTTATTTTTAAAAACAGATCTCGGTGGTTTGATCTGTTTTAATGTTTCAAATAGCTAGTAAAACTTTATAAATAAATAAATAAATACTGAAACTTGAACAACAATTAATTACCGCGTAAAAATTAATAAAAAAAAATATTTCCCACTTTTTAATGAAGTTATATATGAAGTAAATTATGATAGAGAATCGGCGATATGGGTGAATTATGGTATTAAAAAAAAAAAATTAATATTAAAAAATGAATAACACAGGACGACTGTACTGCAACAGGAACGACTGCATGTAAGAACAGGAAACAGCAAAACAGCAAGTAACAGCTCCCCTCTCTTTCTCTCTCTCTGTCTGTCTCGGGACAAACACCGTGACTGCTTTAACACCTCCTGCGCCCCAAAGAACACAGTTTTATGTTAGTCATAATCTAGGATCCAATGGCCCAATTATATAACCCCATCATTAAATATTATACTAAAACAATAGATATGTTAAATGTTATCAAGTGAATATTTAGAGGACTTTAATAATACATTTACAAATACTAACAAAATACTAATACAACCAATGTAATATTTGAGATCTCAGTAAATAAAAAAACTATACTTGCTAATAAAGAATGAGGTTGTTTTTAATTATATTCCTTATTAAATTAATGGGTTGTAGAAGTAACTTGTGAGTATATAAAAATGAAATATTTAACTTGGTTATGAATCCATCATTGTTATGCAAATACTCATGTTTAAATTAAGTGGATCCAATTTTTTAAGAAATGATTTATAATACTTCTATTCAATAATAGGACATCAAAATATCCCAAAATAATAATTTAATAAATCACAATGGCTGATTGAATAATAGTGTTTTAAGGAAAACTACAGCTAGATTAAAATATAATAAATATTATATAAAGAGTTGAGAAACTGGTTAAATCATCATTCAAACTGAACTAACCAAAATAAAGAAGCCATAATTCAAGTTACATTAAAATTCAAGCGAGTATAAGCATAACAGATCTCTAATAAAACTAAATTCTTTAAAACAATAAATAAATGAAATAATATTAAAGAAAAACAAAAAATTATGGTACACCATTTTGACGAACTCAATATATGGACCAGTACATTAATAAAGAAACTATTTGAGCAAAAACACATATAATAACTTAACATATCCATCTGCCTAGTAGGAGGGGGAGGAGGACAAAAAGTTAAAATGTCAAAATAATAATTTTACAGAAAAGGTAATTAAATGTTTAGAAGTTCACAATAATTCAACATTTCTTTAGATTCCTTTCAGTAAAATTTGATGAATTTCCACCTCTCAGGAGAAATGTGGATACAATGAACAACCAAATGTTCAGTTGAATCTTCCATAAAATTAGAATTATTGACATTTGACCTTTTCACCACTTTTGACGGATATATTTACATAACCACAAATGCATATAAGATTTGTTTTCCCTAGATATGACTGTTTATAATTGCACACAGCATTAACAAAAAATCTAAGTAAATTAATATATTTTTAGTAGGTTAACAGGTAATATTGTTTTACAAAATTGAGAAAACATATAAATCAAAGTCACCTAAAACCATTCACAAAATGAATAACTATTGTTAGGTAATTAATCAGAACATTTTCTGAATTAGAATAAGTAAATAAAATTAATAATTGAGAATCAAATTAGTTAATAACAAGGCTTTTTAAGAAATAGATTTAATTATTCAACAGTCAACTAAAATATAATTGGTAAAACAAAAAGTAAATTTTAATTCAATTCATGCACCAATTAAGACTGACTGCTAAAGCTATAAAACAGGGAGGCCACTTTTTTAATTTATTATTATTTAAAAAAGAAAAAGAAAAATCTTGCAAATTAGAAGCAGCAAAGACCACATCAATTAGTTCTGGGTTTTTGTACAGTAGTTAATTGGAATTTTCTGCATGTTTTATAGTGGGTAGTTTCATCTGTAGATTGATAATTAAGTACCAATTTCTCATAATAAGTTATTATTTACTACTATGGCTTTAATTTATGATACTTTAATTATATGAGTTTGATTCAAGTACTAAAATTTACTATTTTATTCTGAATAAGTACCAATGTTATATATTAGTTAACTTGATTAAGCATTTTGGTCAGGACAGCATAGTGCTTTTTGATGGTTAAGGTGATATAAAAATTACTTAGTAAGCTGATCACAACTAAAAACTTTCCACTAAAGCTTTTATTGGCATTGAGGTTGAAGATAATGTGAACTGCACTGTAGAACAGTTCAACCAGAAAATGTTATTGCCAGTGAGGGAAATGAGATAAGACTGATTCAGTAAATAACTGCAACTGAAGGTGTTGAAGAAGTTACTAAACATGACGCACACACTGGTATGTATTGGCAGATGAGGAATAGAAAAATTCTTGCCATACAGATCTAGTCATCAGAGAAGACACTGACTTAATATTGCATAACATAATTCATTCAACATTCCTTAAGATAAACCTTTAACATTTAGCTTTGCATTGTTGAAATAAGATCCTTTTAGTTGTCTGGAATTGTATAAATAGGCAAAGGCAAGACAGAGTTCAGTCCCTTTTCCCACTGTTTTGTCAATCAATTTTTTTGTTTTTGTTTAGTAGCTACTGACAAGGTTTAGTGTTATCAATTAAATATTGTTTAAAACAATATATCTAAATAAGAATGTAAATGTTAGTTTGTTTAAAACCACTAATCTCTGAAAGTTCTTTATCGATTTTGTTGAAAACTGTTAATCTAAGTAAGTTCATCATTGATTGCTTAGCAATTTTGATACGTCACAATTAAATTCAGGAGTGTTTTAATATATATTTCATTACCATCTGGCTTTTCGTTTCGAAATAGCAGCCGAAAAATATGAGTCGACAAGAGTATACGCCAAAATGGCTGTAACAATTTTAATGAGACATGGCTTATTGGATGTTGGATTTAGAGTTTCAATAGCAAACTCAAAAAGTACACAATGTTTGGTTCATTAAACCTACAAGTATTTGAAAAATTCTTGAATTTGAATTTTCATAGCAATACTAACAAAAAATTTCTATATTGAAGGAAGTTAATACTGTTCTACATGTTGATAAATATTTAGGGTGCAGTCCTTATAAAGTTTTAATTGGTGCCAACGTTTCAACTCATGGGTCATTATCAGGACGTGTTTCGAGCATGAAGGTATTTAAGTACTACTTAGTCTAAGTACTCATCTGGAGTACTCGAATACCTTCACTGCTCGAAACACATCCTGATGATGACCCACACATTCGGGTTGAAACGTCGGTACCAATAAAACTTTATAATGACTACGTCCTGAATATTTATCACCCAAAAAATGTCCTTAATTCTTCACCGAATGTGCAAAGTGGGTTCAAATAATTGATTTCGCATTATTACTGGCCTAAAACTCAAAAAGTAAAAAACAAATGGTACTGCACTGTTTTCTTTTGAAAGTACATATAAAAGTGGATGTACCAATACATCGGAATAGATAAGAAAATTTTGGAAACAGCTAAATTCAGTTTTATTTTCCTCAAATGTTCAAATTTCGAATACTTGGTGAAGACTATCAAGAGATATTCCAACAACTTGTTGGTTTCATATTTTTTTGGAGTATCAAGATTGGAATGTAAAGATTTTGATTGGGCATGTGTATCTGTTTCATTATTACATGTGTATATGTATTATTATTTCCCTTTATTACCTAGATCCTAATTTAAGCTGTTGAATATAATGGTATACTGTAAAGAAAATTGTTATGGTGAGAAATAAATTACAGGACCTTGATTAGGATAATGAACAATGAACCTTTGAATCATAGTTATTTCTAATTATTTTTAGATCAGAGGTTTTTGATTTAGTGTTATTTGTATTCTAAACAAGCTCTATGTTTCTTGAAATGAGAAATTAAGCACGTTTTTTTTTTTGTAATGTTAAGTATTTTTCTGCAAAAGAGAATTGAAATAAGATTCTTTGCAATTGCAAAAGAGGCATTTGGGTACGTGTTTAATATAGACAAAATATATCCATGAATCATCAGTCCGTTACAAGAGAGAGGAGAAATACAACATTGCGTGGCTGCTTAATAACACAGCATAAACATCAATCAACAGATGATACTGTATAAAAATATAAGAGAAAATTAGGTCAGACCATTGGAATAAATATCATATATGCCAAGAATGGTTTATAGAATCAAATAAGGCCTAGACCAATATATGTGGTGTAATAAATAATAATTAGTCATAAAAAAGAAACCATGTGACAGGTATATTATTTAAGGAAAAAAATAAAATAATTGCGTTGTCAGCATGACTTACAAAAGAAAAAACGAACAACAAATAACAAGTGACTGAAACTAAATATACATGTTAGAAATACTTTATCTATCCCAAAGATGCCAGGAATAGGGGGAGGAAATACAATAATAATATTAAGTATTTTAAGCCAGATTTATTTAACTAATTATACCATGGCAATTCATTTCATTTGAAAATTTAAATATGGAGTAATCAATGCAAATAAAATCAGATTGCAACACTTAAGACTCTAAACCTTAAAAAGTCAACACTGGTAAATTTTAATTGTTCCTACTTATTTGATCCTTCAGTTTAATTTCAATATAAACTATATGACAACAGTTAATTTAGTAGGTAAAACATTGTGGTGGTTACTAGATAAAAATAATAAGATTTTAATAAAAAGTGTAGTAGCTTTAAATGTAGTAGCTCTTAAGTATGTATCAAATCAACAAAGGTATAAACTTTTAACCAGAGCTTAATTTAAACATCAAGCGTTACTAATTATTACAAGCTTTTCCTCATAAATATGAAAAGTGAAATTAGGTTTCACACATCTAAGACAGATATGTGCATATAACATTTCATGCAGATACAGGACATTTAACCAATGAAGGGATTGAAAACTGAGCAATGAAGTAAGTAATTATTTAATCTCAATGTCTTCATTACAATTTAGGCAATGAGATATTTTCACAAAGAACTGATTATGTGAATATTGTGTTATACTTAAGATATAAATGAAAAAGTAAGTAATTGACATTTATACTTTTTCTCAAATTAAAAAAAAAAAAAAAAAAAAAAAAAGTAAATGCATAACATAACAGTTCTAAATAACATGTAACAAACGTGACTTGCCTAGACAAATTTGTAAGTGTAATGAAATAAACATAAAACAACATGATTTAATTAAATAATAGGAATGGGTTACTATTCCTTTAAGAAATATAAAAGAATAAATAAACATAAAAATACAAAGATATGATATATAAATATAAAAACTTTGAATGCCATACGTTTTGGCTATAGGAACTGTTCCTACTATAATATTATATAAATGATTTCACATGATTGTGGCCACCCTGTGACGAATAATGCTACATATTGCAAACAAAATAAATCAAGTTCCTTGAGAATAAAATAGCAGTTTAAATAAAAAAATAAAATAAATAAAAACAATTAATTATCAAAATAAACACCTGATATAAATTAATCACTATTAAATACCTAAGAAAATAATTACCTGGAAAAAGTAATCAAGTTTAAATCATTTCCAATCAAGAAACATTCGTACACATCATTTATCTGAAAATAAAATATACCACTTTAATAAACTGATATACAAATATTACACATGGAAGTTACAATTAGGATTACACAGACACATTTAACCAACTTTGTTGTGAAATGTCTGAACTTAATTAAAGAAAATAGTTTGAAAAATTGATTAACTAAAACTTTTTTTCTTTTCACTATTTCTTGCCTAAAGGTCAATTTAATAAATAATTACTCACTTTTTTCTTTTTTTATTGATGTACATTTCGAGGAATCTCTGTCCCTATGAAATCTGATTAGTAAAACATTTTTAGGAAGAAAGGTCGAAACTGATAAACGGTACAACTTTTTTCATTATAAATTTTTTCCTCAATACTCTAAATAGTTTTAATTTAACTTAAGAAGTTGGTTTAGTAAAAATATAATAAAAAAGAACATGCCTCGTGATATAAAATATGTCAGTTAGAATTTAAATTACTGACAAAATGAGTTAAAATAAAAGTGACAAAGGTGGAAATTTCTATGAGAATTCAAAAAGTTCTATAAATAGCAATAATTGCATTATCAACTTTTGTTTAGTGATAATTAATTATTTTTCCCAGCTTCTTCAATATTGTACTAGGTTGAAGGAGGGGATCAAAAAGGTAACAGCTCTTAGGACTTATGTAGACTTCATATAAAGTTTGATAGGAACTGTATATGAAGTTTTCTAAAGCACTGATTACTTTTTCAAAATGCAGTTGAGATGGTATCGTAATAGTGAAGGGGCTGTGATAATAATATGTCTTACATCCTCAGGATTTGAAGTTTCAGAGTAGAAAACAAAAGTTTTTAGATTGGAAGATTCTAATAATTCCATGAACCTGTGGTCTAGCCTTCAGTAAGTACGTAAATCGGCCAACTTATATAGCAGATTTTGACTAGAAGTCGACATGATTTACTATAGTGGCTGTCTCCTGATTAATGAAATGAATGGCAGCTGACTTGCTGAGAACCTCTTCGGTTTTCATTATTCATGTAAAACTTATAACTAACTGTGTATTATATCTAAAGATACCATGAGCACTTTTCTCAGTTCCTTCTTCAATTAAGTATGATATTGAGGAAGCTGTAAAAAGGTTTAGCATGAATATTAAAACCCAGGGGTTGTGAGACATACTATTCTCACCTCACTGGGTGCAGTACAACCTCAGCTACCTTCCAAAAGAGTAAGCTGTAATTCATAAAACTCCATATACACATCAAACTCATGTGTGGGGTGCACTGCACGTTACCCGGCAACCTGATAACCTAAGTTAGTAGTGGAAAAATAATTAAATCCCGTTGCCTGGTGGGATTTTTAACTCTGCGTAATTCCCCTGCACCGGGAAAACCCCGTGTAGCCTAAAAGACAAAAAAAAAAAAACCTCTAAACTGCAAATTAAGGGAAAATATGTCAGTCCAGAGGACAGAGGGATTTTTCATGGCCCCTCCCACACCTTTACTGTACATACAATGAAACGAATCTTAACAATGTTTAACTGTAAAGAACAATCTCATGGTTCAGGAATTTATGATAGGAAATTTAAGTATAAAGCAATTCAAATGTTAAACCTTTTTGTAAAAAAAGAAGAATTATACTGCAAGTTAGTTTTTGAAGAATGAATTGATATAACAGAAATATTTTGGGTTGGATAAAATGTGAACTAAAATAAATAAAATGGGTTAGAAACAATATATATATATATATATATATATATATATATATATATATATATATATATATATATATGTATAGTAGGCAATGAAAATATCTTAAAACGCAACTTTGTTAAATTTCACAAAGGAATAGTAAAATAAGACAATCTAACAGAAAATTAGCAATAAGAGTTCTCATCGCTAAATACTACATAAATCATATGAACATCCACTAGAAAATTTTAAATACCTAAACGAATTCTAGTGAAAGTATTGTTTTTACACAATAACACCGTAGTAACTTTTATTAAGGACAGATTTACAGAAATAAAATGACACCAATCATATCTATCCTTATTAAATAAAATATAATAGAGTTATGAGGAGTTAACATCTAAAACAGCTTTCAAGGGGCTAGTGGGTGAAAAAAAAAAAATGTAACAGTTTAGTTAAATTAGAATAGCAAAATAGATTAAGATAACTTACCTAGACCTTGAACGAGATCTAGAATGTGAACGGGACCTTCCACGGGAGCTCTTAGAATCAGATCGGGACCTAGAACGAGAACGAGAGTATGACCTTCTGCGTGAACGTGATCTTGATCGTGACCTGGACCTGGACCTTCTAACAAAGATAATAAATGACCAAATAAAATTCTATGTCAATAAATATATTTAATTAACTTATAACTGCTAATATCATAAGCAGATGTATGAATCCACTTGAATGTCAAATCTGAACTTTTAAGGATACTAAACATGTTAACATTTTTGTAAAAATAACTAGTAGCAAGTGATACACTACAGAGTAGAAAGAATTAACAATTAATTATTGTATATAAAAATTCACTTAAAAAATTGAAAAACTCTAAATAAAAATGTTTAGGACTTCTGTGGATTCAAACTATAGCCGATGATATGTGACATAATAAATGTAAATACACACACAGATGGGAAGCTTTTATAACACTTATGTACTTGGCTCAAAATTGTTTAGAAGATATATATATATATATATATATATATATATATATATATATATATAAAAAGAATAACATTAAGTAATAATAGCTTTATAACAATTCTTTAATTTGAATAGATTATAGTAATTGTCTTCATTTTAACATTTTCCGTGATTAATTACAATGAAGTTTTAAACAATATTTTTTAAAAACAGGATGACTTTTGAAAGACAGTTACTCTTGAACTATTAAACATAAAGATATCAGGGCTCAAATTGAAGCTGATAGAATGCACTACAAAATTGGTTAGGATAATTATCTTCATAGTAATAGCTGAATCCTTCATATTTGCAGATATGTACTAATTGGCGAAAAATGTCAGGATTATGAATTTGACCTGTCAAGCAAAGTTCCCTCCCAATTTAAGCAATGTTTTGTGGCATCTGGGAGAGTGCAATTACACAATTACTTGGAAAAATCATATTCAAATAATGTAATTATTACAAATTTGGTTTTTCCTTTTCTATGGGTGCCATTTAAAAAAGTCCCCACTTTGAATTGGCAGACTAATACAAATTGAATGATAAGGATGGAGAGTGTAATGGTGTATGACTAACTAACAGCTTTCTTCAAAGGTCCTTCCACTTCAACTTCTAGTTTTATACATTAATTCTTAAAAATATTACTCATGATAATATGAAGTTTCTAAATTTGCTGGAAAATAAAAAGTTCGTCATCAAAATTAGACCATTTTTAGTAAAGATAAAGTCAATTATAATTTGTACTCATGTTTTGGTTTGATATTTTGAATCAACCATTGTAATTAACTCAAATACAATATAGTTGCTTATTAGCGGAGTCCATATTTTTATGCAATAAAAACCCATAAAATATGTTGCCAAAAAGTCTCTAAATATGCAGTATAACGAAAATATTCAATTATAGTAATGGTCCCACAAAAAGCACCAGCATAAAAAATAAATTTGTGGAAGGATTAAAAACTACTGTAGGAATTTTAATTAAAATTTCTTGATCAGTTAGCTGACGTTTTACTTACCCATCTCTTAAAATTATTTAACTTTTTCTTTATAAACCACATTGCGAAAAATTTATGTTAATTTACAATCCTTTGTTGACTTTAATTTAAAAAAGTTGTATGAATTGTGATGCAAAGCAGCTTTAAATTTGCCTGGCCTACGTCAAAGAATAGTAGATAGACAAATAGTAATAATAATTTTAATTTGTAACTGACTGCCCCTTTACTTGCAACATTATTACTATCACGGCTTTAATCTTCTAATCACCGAAAATAAATTGTTAGTACCTAGCATAAGCAAAAATGGTCCATAAAAACCAGAACTTAAACAAAAAAAAAAAAAACAGAAAGAAATAACACAAAAAATCCACAGTAAATACATAAATCTAGATTCAATAATAAAATGCATATAATAACCTTCTTCTAGATGACCTTCCTCCTCGTCGATAAGGTGAGGATGGGCGTCCATAACGTGCCATTTGCACTCTTAACTCCCTACCATCTAACATTCGCCCATCCATAGCATCTAATGCATCTTCAGCATCTCTTTTATCATAAAACCTGTCAAAAAATAGCAATGATAAGAATAAGAATGACTAAACCAAACTAACTTCTATTAATAGCAACTCAATTGTAAATAATATAAAAACAATCAGTACATTATAAATAAGTTAAGTTAGCAAGCAACCTAATTACTAAAATAAACATTTGAGGCTGAATGATAAGTTTAATTGTTTATAACTGACAGAGTTATGTTAAAAGGTATTCTAAAATGAAGAAACTTTATGGAATATAATAAAACCCAAAAGTTGTTTCACTTTTTTGCATCCAACTTCCAGGAAAAATATTTTATTTTATAGAAATCCATTCACAAGTCTAGTTCCTGAATTAGTTTTTATCTTACAGTGTCATCAAAAGGTACTATTTCGCGGGTACTGCCCATGGCAGCGACTTCTAGAGGTGGAGCTATGCAACTTTTTCATTCCACTAAAGCTATGCTTTAGTGGAATGAAAAGGAACCTATTTCGTTAGCACTGTTTAGAAGTAAGGATATGACATCATATCTATACTGCTCCTTTTAGACCCCTCCTGAACAGTGAAGCTGTTGGGCAGTTCGGTGGGTAGAGGTTATGTTACCATATCGGAGCATTTTTTTAATGATAACTATCATCTAAAAATGTTTCTTCATCAAGTCTGGAAAAATTATGTGAAACATTGTTTAAAATCAGAACAGAAGGACCGCGGTGGTCGAATGAGTTAAGGCACCTATAAAAATTTAATATCTAGCCTTCAAATCCTGTTCACAGGAATAAAAATAAAATAATTAATAATAAATTTAATTAATAAGCAGAGGTTTTACTACTCTACTACTTCGACCATTACTGCGGACGGTAACACCCCCTCTCTGAGATTCATAGGGAGGAGGAGAGCAACCCCTGTCTTACACCATAGCTCCTGGTCCTCCAGGTTGCGGTTGGGTATAGGGCTGATAATCCCCTATCCCATAAAAAACTGGTTGGAAGATGGAAACAAAAGATAAAGATTTCCAACCAATGAATAAAGAGGGAGTAAAATGTGATCGCGCATGGTTAGTGAACCACGTGCCCCCTGGATATCTCGAAGAAGAGAGAACCAAACGATCACTACTGTTGCCTATAATAGCCCCAAGCTGCTGAAGAAGACTTTTGACAAAACCTGAACAAAGCTAGAGTAAATAATTTTTTAAGGTTTAAGTAACAAGATTATTTATTTATTCTACCAAAAATATTTTACAGAGCAATTCAAATATACCTAAACCCAAACGACATTAAATAATCCAACAAATTTTAGCATCAAATAAATACTAAAATCCACACATTGAAAGAAAAAACAATTTGTATTTTTTAAATTATGAGCTGATTTACAGATTATTTATTGATAAAACATCGCCTGCTGTGATTTCATTACAAATATAAGATATTTATTACTAATCAATTATGTAATAATTACAATTACTTATCAAACTAATAAATAAGTAATACATTTAAAATCTTACAAGAAACCATAATTTTGTAGGAGGTGGGCATCAGACAATTGTTAACATTTTATAGTATAGACATAATCGAACCTTGTTATTCAACTTTAACTACCAGATAAAATGATGTTGATTAATTAAATAAGATCGAAACTCTGCCATCATATGTATTGATATCCATTGATAAACATAAAAACCATTAAATTTAAGGCTAACATTTTAATTTAAAATTATTTCAGGCTAAGATGCTAAATTGAGAAAATTTTCCCGCTACGGTGAGTAGTTTCAGTGAAATAGACAACTATTAGCAGTTGGCAACTTGGGATGGTGGTAGCTTTCATGGGTAGCCCCAGTGAAATAATACCCAAAGAAGCTATAGTTTTGGAGTAATATACCCCTCCCCTTCCTTCCCCATTTCATGCTATAATAAATTAAAATTACAATATACGGTACAAATTAATTAGCAAATTCTTTTAATTTTACACTAAACAAGACATCCTAGGGTTATCTTTAAAACAGGTAACTTGCAAAAGACTCATCTCAATATGATTTAATTATTTAAACCAATATATAATTCATATTAATATTTCATATAATGGGTAGTGTAACACTTCATAAGTATAACTCCAAGATCACACTGTGGAAGGCCAAAACTACATAATGTTAGTTTTTTGACAGGTTAAATTTTTAACACTAATTTAATGAATCAGAATAAAAAAAATGTTATGAAGATATAAAAACAATATTATTATTTATGCAGCCAAAATATAAAAAACTAGCTCTATCTTCCGTTTAATTGGTACCAGTAATCTGTGATGCCATTGAAAAATACAAAAAGTAATCTCGTATTTCGTTGAGGCTTATTGGTTTATAAGCAAATTTAACAACAATGTAACAATCGAGTATTAATATGTATACCTTCCTAAATAATATCTAAAAATGTTCACACATTTATTTAAAATATTTTTAACTTCCTTTCTATTTGTCAGATCAAGGACTCCAATAGCTTAAAAATATCAAGAATACACAATTCGCAAAAAAAATGAGTAAATCAAGACAAGCAGTTTTGGGAGTTAGCGGTTATAAACATGAAAACATACCAGATAAAGATCTGCCTGTTATAAATAATTAAACAGTAAGACTCATTCAGGTACTAAAAAGTAAAATATTTGGAGCAGCGTTTAATAAATAATCTTCAATAATATGTTTGTGCAAAAACAACTAATACAGGTGGCAACACATGTATAAAACTCTTTCACATTTCTACTGAATTAACAATACATGGAATTTTCGAATTATGTTTATTATTTATTACTTAACCTATTTAAATTTATTTGTTAAATTTTGTTGGTTTGTAGCTACTGCCTTAGCTTCTTCTGGTGTTTCCTAACTTTAGTTTGTAATATTTTAATTGAATCTCAGGTGATGGGGGTTATTGAATTGGGAGTGATGATTATCTTGGGTTAGAAACACAAAAAAATTGTAATTAAAAGTATGGCCATTTAACGAAAGTCTTAGTTAATAATCTGAAATTGTACAGGACATGAAATAAAATACTGTTTATTTTGATATTATGTTGTATAAAAGGACTTTCGGATACACTTGACCTTTCTCAGTATTGCAGGTTGAGGAAAGATCATGTTGAACACATTTTTAACTTCCCTATTAACATAAGTAAATAAAATTTCACTGAATTTACAGAATCTGTTAAATAAATACCTTCGATCTGTATCATTAATTAAATTACTACATTTTAATATTTATATTCCCATATGTTCATTCAATTTAATCACTTTTAGCTTTGGATTTGACATTCATAGTCTTTAGGCTTAATAATTTAACAAAATACATGGGGCCATAACATTGCTGATAATCGTTAAATTGGGTTAACATAACTAATTATACTTATTGATAAAAATCTAGATTTGGAGATCTGTCGCCATTGAATACTTGCACATAGATTAGGCATTTATTCATCGTGATAAATGAAACCTTAACTAGCCCATTAACAAGATATAAGGCAACTGCTGACCAATTGCTAACAATCTTAATATGGATTGTAAACAGAGAGAGCACTAAGCTATTAGCATTATCAAGCAATATAGCAGGTACAATACATTAAACAAACATTTATAGAGCATAAATAAATTTTCAGAGATGAAGCAACACACTTGAATATGGCATAGAGACAGAAAAGTCGTAACTCAAAAAATTAAATGTTTGAGATACATAATCAATATCAACTAGGACCTAAAAATATAAAAACCGTTCATACAAAGAAATAAACATAGAATGATTAATAGAACATAACCCTAACCAAACAATAAATAACAAAGCTAACATAAAATCACAATTTTACACAAAAGAAACCGCATGCTTCAAACAATTGTGCCACGGACCAAAATTTACCCTATCAATTGCAAAAGTAGCAAATATAATGTATTTTAAGAAAAGTTTTTCTTACCGAACAAATGCAAAACCTCTACTTTCACGTGTAAATCTATCTCTGGGGATATAAATATCGCCGACTTCACCACACCTTTCAAATACACGTCGTAGATCATCAGGGGTAGTTCTATAAGTTAAATTATCAACCTTCAACGACACCATACCATCAATGCGAGGTGGAGGTCGACCGTAACTCATTTTTCAGCAATGTGAGCTCAACTAATGAAACAAACAAAGAAGCGAAGGCCCAAAACGACGCACGCCACAGAAACAATATGGCGCTAGTCAAGTTGAAATAACCGGATATGCAACTCCCAGATACCCCCACTACCAAACAAGAACACTACTGAAATCATGAACTTTATCACCTGGCGCAAATTATTGATTAAAAACATACATACCTTACAAATGCGAAACCACGGCTTTCTCTAGTAAATCTGTCCTTAGGAATATAAACATCACCAACTTGTCCATATTTACCAAAAATATACTTCAAATCATCACAAGTAGTTCTATAGGTTATGTTTCCAACTTTGAGTGATATCATGTTATCGACCTTCTTCGGTATTCTGCCATAACTCATTCTTTATTACCAAGTCAGCGTAAATATTCACATACCTTTTAATAAAATTCAATCAATCAGGAAGAAATTTTGAAAACTAAATGCACATTAATAAATCTTGATAGAACAATAACAACCTAAATTGACTCCCTTAGTATCCACTGCCAAAGAAATTACTGTTCAAGCAGTATCTAAAATAATAAATTGATAAGGCGGTTATGTCAATAGCAATGGAACATTACAAAATTTTGGTCACATTTAGGCATCACGTTTTTATTAAACAAAAAGGTAGAGATAGCGTGTTTTCTTAGTTCTTAGCTTCTATTTTCATAGTTTTCTTAGCAAGTTACTAATGTGCAAATACCTATATTATCATCTACATAAGCGCAGATAGATTGAAAAAAACAATTTTTTATTGTAAGATGCCAATTTTAGGGAATTAGAAATGATTTTTAAAGTTCATTCTATTAGAAAGAAAGACATTCATTAAAAAAAAAAAAAATAATCTTTAAACGAAAACAAAATTAGAACACGCAGAAAATAACTGAGCTCACAATATGCGGTCTTCTAAATAAATATAAACTCAATTGATAAAATTCACTTTTTTACTTTCACTAACCAATATGTAAAATATATAGTAAGGGAAAGTATTGCAATCATGAAAATTTTCGAATCTCAGTTTTCAACGGAAATACATGTTTTGAGGTCCCCTGAGTCGAAATAACCAAGTCCCGCAAAATGGTCTGTGTGTGTGCGTGTTTGTGTGTTAACAATCTAGCTCAAAAACGAAAAGCCGTACGAAAGTGAAATCGCATATTTAAGGTTTTTATATGCTTGGGATGTTACAGCTACTTTTTCGTCAAAATCGGATAACCGGAAGTGGCACTTTATATCATAGACTAAACACATTTTTACGATTTTCTCGAAAACGGCTCTAACGATTTTGATTAAATTTATTATATCAGAGTAAAATTAAGCAGTTTTAAATAAAATGTAGGTTTTATTCTGATTAATGTTCTCTAGCAGGGCTTAAATGGCTAATTTTCAATTGAGCTTCCCCTAAAACACATTTAATTTTTTTTATTTGAATCAATTGACCATTTCACATTAATCTCTAATATAAAATATAGTTAAATATGAAAGAATTTGATAATTAACTAAAGAAGATATAAGAGATCATAACGGAGAATAGTTGTAATTCAGGAACCAAAGTTATAAAACCGCACCCGAAAGATAAGAACACGCTTTCATGCGTAACATGAGCTTAATATAATAAGGACTGCGACAATATGTAAATATACATATGCGGTTTTCATAAAGGTATTGTTGGTATTATATAAATTTTATTATATAGATTACAGCTATATAAATATTAAAATTTGTATCTATAAGGGTACTAATTCAAATAAAAATACCCACAATGAAATATAAACCAATATAGCATTTATAATTTTTACTTTCACTTCTCCTTTATCTAAAAATACTTATTTGTGTTAAGAAGAGGGTGGTAATTGAAAGTTGTAAGATGCGCGTACCGCACCAAATTATTTTCTACATTTCTGTTGATCTATACACCTAAAAAAAATCTTGTGCGCGCAACTCACAACTTTTACTTACCACTCTACTTTGAATAGAAATTATTTTGTGGCAATGCTGGGCTATTATAAATTTTTTTTAGTGCATTTTGAACGGAGCTAAAACTTAAACCTTGCAGATAACAAGTCATTAAGACCAATAAAATTGTAAAAAGTCTATTTATTATATCGACGGCAGGCCATAAAAATGTAGTTACTTCATTTGCTTTTATAAAACACAGAATGACGCCAATTTCAACATTTTTGAGTAATATCATTTTAGTGATATTTTTAGTCGAAAAAGTTATCTATGCAGACAGTGAGTAAGGTGATTCGGAAGATGGTGATTTAAGTGTTGAAATATAGAACTGAGGATAAAAGTATAAATTTAGGTACTTATTTCTTATGCAAGATGTTCTTAGGAAAGATACTTTATTAAATACCTGTAGAAAAAAGGTGTTTTAGTCTCAACAATTAAAAAAGTATATTTTAAATTTATTCAAATTTTCGCCTCTTCAGGGAAAAAACTAGAGACCATACCTTTCCTCCTAATTGTCCGATTTCGGTGAAACTTCTTTCATTTTTTACGAACTTTGAAACATCTTATCACAATGTTTCTACTACACATCTACAAAGAAGTGTATACTTTTCGAGTTATTCGGAATTTAATTTTACCATCCCTCGCAAGTTTTTTTCTAGCTTCTTTTCGTTGAAATATGTTATATAGATAAATTTAAAGGGTGACGAGAAAATGACTTTACCGAAGTTTCATTGAAATCGGTGCATTCGTTTAGGCGCTACAGTCTATAGCAACGACGGTTTTTCTGCATTTTTTTTTCTCCTTTATTAACTTAGCAAATTCTTTCAAAAGTTATATGTAGCATTTTTTCGTAACTCTGAATAATGTGAAATGATTAACATTCTAAAATAAACCATATTAAAGGTACTTTAGAGGGAGACATATATGAACATTGGGCATTTAAGCCCTGTAATGTGACATCAACGGGGATAAGACCTAAATGATATTAAAGATCACTTAATTATACAATGATACACTGAGTTTAATCAAAATCGTTAGAGCCGTTTTTGAGAAAATTGTAAAAATGTGTTTTAGCGTTCATATAAAGTGGCACTTCCGGTTAGCCGATTTTAACGTAAAAGTTGCTGACACATCTGGACCATATACAAACCTTAAATACTTAATATCAGTCTCGTACTACTTTTCGTTCATGAGCTTAACTGTTAACACACACACACCATTTTGTGACACTTGGTCGTTTGGACTCAGGGGACCTCAAAACATCTATTTCCGTTGAAAACTGGGATTCGAAAATTTTCATGATCGCAATACTTACACTTACTATATATTACATATATACGTAAGTGAAAGTAAATAAATGAAAGTAAAAACGGAGAGTGGCTTAAAAAATCATGAAAATAGAAAAAAAAGTGACATTTAGAGCTGCAAAAGTGTAATAAAGAAAAGTCTCACCTTCAATTTTTTCTTCATATGTAGTCCTATCTACTTCTTGCTGATGAAAATCTTGCCTTTTTTTAAATATGAATTTTCAAAAACGCTCAAAAGTTGTTTTCGGCGATTTTTTAAGTTGTATATCACAAAATGGACTGGGTGAAAATTTATGAAATTGAACAGTTTACACCTGTTAATTATAGGAATGTATGATAAGAATTTGATCATTGAGAACAAACTGGCATGATATCAATAAAATAACCAGAGTTCCATGCAATTTTCGAATCGAAAAGTAAATTAAAAATGGCTGCGGAGTCTCAACTGAGTCAAAACTGTGAGTCTCAAAATATTTTTAACTATGGTTTTGAACTCTCAAATGTACACGGAATAACTGGTAAAAAATCTGCTGCAGTCACTAAAATATATTATTTGAAGCCTTTTATTTAGTTTCTTATAGTAACCAAGATTTTTACCAGAAACAAAAAACTTAGTCTATTGAGCCCCGGTGGTCCAATTTATAGTGCAGATAAAGTCCAAAATTTTGACTTAATTGAAGAAGTTAGCTTCTTTTCTTGTAGTAAACTCAATTCTTACCATCTATACAAAAAAAACTAAGTCTGCCTATCCTAAGTAATCAAATTCATAGAGCAAATAAAAAAAAAAAAAAACATTTTTACTTCATTGAAGACATTTGTTGCTTTTCTGAAATTAAACTAGATTTGCATAGATTAATTATTGGCATCAATTTATCAGTTTTCAACAGGGAAAATAATGTTTTGATACCATATGCAATCATCAAACCATATTTTTAATGGTACAAAATTATAGCACAAATAATTATAGCTTCTAAAATTTAAACTTTTATTTTATTTACTTAAAAGAAAAAAATGAAAATGAGCATGAAAAGTAGATATATACAGTATGGATACTTCAACGAATATTTAGTGAATTAGGAAATAGACTATCCTCATTTTTTTAGACCTGATACAAATTCCGAGGCCTTATCTGAACCTCCACCTAATTTTTATTACTTGCTAAGTTCTACTTCGATTATCTGCTGAAAAAGGAATTGGCTTTCCCACATGTTTAGAATATTCTCTTGTGGCCAGTCTTTCCCATATTTTATCAAGTTTATTTCTTTAACAAACTCATTCCGTGCTCCCTAAGTAGTCGAATTTATAAAGCAGATAAAGTTTAAAAAAGATTGTAAACTTCAAAATTTGGATTATTTGAGGACATTTCTTACAATAAACTGGATTTTTGCCTGATACAAAGTAACTTTGTCTGCCCATCCTAAGTGATCAGAAACTCAAAATTGACTTCTTTGAAGAATTTTGGTTCTTTTATTATTTTAAAGAAGATTTTTACTTGCCAGAAAAAACTTTAACCATAATTGGCAAGAGTTTACCGGCTTTGCCAATTTATTAATAAAGTTTATTATGTATTGACAGCTAACAATTTTATTTTAATACAAATTTGTCTATTATTTTTATTGGAACAAAATTATTGCACATTAGCTTCTAAAAACTAGTGTTTTCATTCACATACTTAGATAGTCCAAATAACTCTTTTTAAATTTGGTAGATTATTAATGATGTGAAAAAATGGGGGAAACGTTTTTTGTTATACTTTTGGACACTTCATTAAATATTTCAAGAGTAGTTGAATAACAAAAAATATGAAAGCTAGGTATTTCTGCAAAAAAGTTCCTATATAACTTCAGATTACTTCACCTCTTGAGTAAAAACATTAACTGATTTGATATTTTACCAAACAAAAGTACCTGTGTTTTCAGCAAAAATAACTACAAAAAGTATTACAAAGCTTTTATTTTGTATTTATCTGTGATATAGAAAAACATTTTTAAAATTTTCTTTTGAATACAAACAAAACTACTTTAAAACCTCATCAACCAGAAATGCATCATTTTAAATTTAAACTAAATTTCCCTAGAATTCATGACTCATAGATAGGTACATTTTGCTGAAAATATATTTTAAAGTAGAAATGCTTTAATCTGTAACGTAATAGCCTTCTCCGACTTCCTCTTCTATAGCAACTAATTTGTTCTGAAATATAATTTCTTCAAGTGATGTCAGAACAGAAACTCTCTTAAACCACTTTTGTTAATATTCAAAAGAAAATTTTTAAAAAGTAAATCATTTTTTTCTAAATATATACTTTTAGAAATATAGAAAATAACAAATTTTATTTTATTAAATTATTATAAAAACAAAGTTTTTCCAACTCAAGTTTGATTTATGGAAAAAACACTAAACATTCTCCCTTTAATTAAAGATGTTTTGCTTATACCTTATTAATTTTTTTGTAGCAGATTGTTTTAAAATATTTATAAATTCTATATCTTATTTTTATAATTTTGTTTTAAAAAAGTAGTAGCAATAACATATTTCGCTACATAAAAATATTGTTATAAAACACAAATTCTTATGGATAAGAATAATTTTTAGTTCTGAAATAGCAATTTTATTTTATTTATTGAAAATTAAATCTTCAATAAGATAAACCAGCAGACTAATGCCATTAGATATTAAAATTTTTAGATTCCAAAGTGGGGTTTTTAGGAAAATTTCAATGCAACATCATTTGAATTTGATTCACAAAGTGGTCTAATATTTTTTAAAACAGAAATTAATCGTTATCAGTTAATTAAATTATTGTAATTAAATACTAAAGATTCTGCTTGACTAACATCATTTGATTCAAGAAGTGGTCTAATATTGATTATAACAGAATTAATCGTCATCAGATATAGCATTAATCAGAATTAATTAGAATTAAGCATTAATTAGAATTAATCGTCATCAGATTGTTTTGTTGAAATATTTACCTTTTTAAGGAGCTGCCATTTTTTCAGACAGCATGACCTGAGTGGCAGACTCTCATTTTTAAAATGTAAATGTTATGAATATTCATAAAATTGTTTTCACAATTTTCATCACTTATCAATTTTTTTTACTTGGGTTCATGGACTGTGGATGTTAATTATAAATGCCAAATGGCCCTTGATGTTATGGACATGGCATCCTATAAAATTTGAATACATACTCATGTAAATATATATATATATATCTTAAACATACAACATAAAGATCAAACTTCATAAACATTAATAACATTTTATTGATCCTTTAGTTATAAATTTAAAAATTTCTATAGATATAAAACTTATCAATTACTTTGTATAACAAAATATATGAGTACTCAAACTTATTTACATTAATAATTTATTAAATATATGTTCATATTTTTCTGTATTAGTTTATTTATTTTTTACAAAAATACATTAAAATTTAACAGTCATACAGCTTCTTTTTTTTTATCACTGCTGCACATAGCACTTTAATAACCATCTTTTCATCAAATCAATAGCCTAATTTAAAAAACGTCTAAGGATACATTTGGTGACCAATGGTATGATGCTGTCGCTGGTGGTTAGCAAGATGCTCTTTTCTGGTAAAGGCTTTTCCACAAGGAATACATCGATAAGGTGAAAGACCAGCATGAGATCTTTCATGTGTCACTAGATGATCACGTCTGGAAAATGCTCTTCCACATTCAGTGCACTTAAATGGAGTTTCTCCTATAAAATATAATAGGATTAATGTATTATATAGCACTAATTAATGGAAAGTTACAAGTTTTCAAAAGAAAATTAAGTAAAAAATGTTAATAAATATTAGAATATTGTTTTAAACTACAAATTTCGTCCTCTTTATAAATATTTTCAATATTCATAAAAGTATTTTCTACTTCAATTATAATGATTAATTTTTTTTCCTAGCCTGTTATTATAAGTATTTTACAACCTTTAGGCCTCCTCCAATTAAGAGGGCAACGGTCTAACTTTCCACGGGGATCAGTCGCATTGGGATTCGGTCTTATGATCTTTACTTTACTATTATAGTGCACTAACCACTCTGCTAGGCTGGCCCCTAATCATTCATTAAATGTCCACATAAATATTTATGTTAAAATTAAAGCTAGCTATAGCCATTGGTCATATTAGGATCGAAACGGGAAATTTATTGTGAAAAATGTGGGAAAGTTTTTTTTTAATTGTATATTAAAAAAAAAATTCTTTTCCCATATTTTCACATTACATTTCCCGTTTCGATCCTAAAGTTACTGGCCTAATATTCTATAAATCAGCTACAATTTTTAAAGCAATGGCTTTGGATGGCAGATAAGGTTCATTTTACTTAGAATAACATTAACTTTCGTAATTTACATTCAAGCCTTTGCCTGTGGTGAAGTCAACTTTTTCAGCCCTGTCTCCAGGACTATGAATAAATTCCTTCTATTCTTCTTTCTTGACAAAAGACTGATTTGGAACTTAAAAGACAAGAGCTTAACCGACGATTTGCTCAGTTATACATATTAATAAACAGGACATCTCATCTTTCAATCAGAAACAAGCTATTAATCTACAAGACTGTACTGAAACCTATCAAGACCTGTGGACTTGAACTATGGAGGACATCTAAATTTTCGAATATCAAATGTTTTCAATCCTTCCAGTCAAAAGTCCTTCGAACAATAGTTAATGCTCCATTTTATGTCACAAACAACACCCTACACCATGATCTTAACAATCTGTATGTCCATGACATTATCTCATCCCGATTTACAAAATTTCACTAGAACCTTATTCACTATCCCAACCCTCTAGCTCAATCTCTATCAAGCTCCACTCCAAAACCATTCCTATAATCTTCCCCAGAGGTTGAAACGGCAGTGGCCTTGAGATCTTTTGTAAATATGTTAATGGGGTCCTGGCAATGGCCAGCTTTTCCACTCTATGACTGGATGCTTGTGACTCAAGTGCTCTCTCCCAGTTTCCACTAGCCTTCAGTCCAGTGATGTGGCTGGAAGAGAAGCACTGGGATCTCTTGGAGCCAAGCTTTGCCTTCCACACATGGAAGACAAAGCCTGGCTCGGAGTCTCTTGGGCAAATGTAAATATTGTAAATAGGTGTTGTGTTAAAAAGCTTTAGAAGAATTTTATTTTGTATTTAATTACCTTCATTTACTTATCTTATATTCTTATATGTACATATTGTATGAGTGGAGACTTTTAGCACTAATGCTAATTGCCCTTGAGTGTGGAAGATTGTATTAATATTCAATAAATATATAATAATAAAATATAAACCTGTGTATAAGGGTTCAAACCTGTAAAAATCAAAATTGCTAATTTGTGCCACTAAGGGAAAACTTTTTACAGCCAAAAAACCCAGACTTTTTTCGGTTTTTTTTTTTTATCTATAACTCCTAAATGGTGTATCAAAACGGAAAACTTACTCTTTAAGAAATTAAATAATGTTAAATTGTGCATTGAGCAACTACCTTAACTTTAATAATTTGGTTAAGTGGTGTGGTAGAAAACCATGGTCAACGAACACTGATTTTTACTATGTTTGTCAAAAACTGAGGCAAATTACTATAAATGGCTCAGCAGCATGGAAATGAGTTCTCCAAGAGCAAAGCTCATAGAATGAAAGTTGTAGAGCATCAAATTCTGTGTCCATTGAGTTACTAACATTTTTAATGTAGGTCAGATATTCTACTCGAAATCGGTAATTTGCCGATGGCTGGAAATTGGTAATGGTGGTATGTATGATTTTCAATATTTTAACAGTATGGATGTTTAATATATTTGAATAAGTTATATTTGAATGAGTACATTATCTGTTACAGAATATAGATGAAGAAAATAAAGATGTGAATATAGAACAAAAAAAAAAATTATATTGTCAATCCCGCTTTCTTGGTGTTTTCACTTCTCTTGGGTAGTTTTAAACACACACCTAAAACAAAAATATCTCAAAATTTCAATACCCTGGATGCTTTTTTAATGGATTCAATACCCTGGGTGATAAATATTCAGGACGCAGTCTTTTTTAAAAAAAAATTTTTATTTTTGCCAACGTTTCAACCCAAACATGTGGGTCATCTTCAGGACTGAAAATGTTTTTTAAAAATTACGATCAGAGATATAATAGTATACAACCGCTAATTATAAATAATAAACTATAGTGATTGATGGCACATGAATCTTAACTAATATTGTAATACACATTAAAATAGTTATACAAACTAAAAATAAAAAATAATGTATATAATCCATTTTTATAAATTTGTAATATTTTCTCTTACTAACCGTGGTTTGAGCACTGAGGTTGTTCATGTACTGACACATGTTTGGCAGGTAAGTAAAAAGGTCAGCGGGGGGGAGGATTTCCCACTTGTCCTTTTTCAGATAGCAAAAGGTAAGTAAACAAGGTTAGAGGGGAAGGGAGGGTAACATATGTTGTTTGTAGAATATACATAATTTGCTGACAAATATTTCAGACGTGTACAATATTTGAGTTATTTCATATGGTTACAGAAATGTGACTATCGACTAGTATTAAAATGAACATAAGCAAAAGGTGCCAATTAATATAAATATAGCTTAGTTTGATAGCAAGTATACAAGGGTTAGGTGAATAATTATTATAATAAAGACAATTTCAATGTATGCAGATGATACTTAGGAAAACATATTATACAATATTTATCATAATATAAGTTTGTGTTACATTAAAGATTAAATAGGCTATTGTTTCAGGAGGCAGATATGAATATATGATATTGAATATGAATGTATTGCAGATCTTTTCTTTGTCTACTTTATGGTTTACCGGATTATTTTTTTCCAAATTAATGAATATAGATTCCGATAGTAGTCGTTTTTGGTGATTGGGAACTGTGGCGAGTATGGTTGGGTTTTCGAAATCAAATGTGCGGTTTAGGGTTATGGCGTGTTCCGCTAGTTTTGAGGCAAATGGGTTTCGTGTGGAGATGCTATATTTGTGTTGATAGATTCGTTTTTTTAAATAGTTTTTGGTTTCTACTATATAAGAAGAATTACAGTTTGGGCTAGAGCATGTGATATGGTATACAATATTTGATTGTTGTAGGAGCGGAACAGGATATTTGAGTTTGGTGTATAGATTTCTTAGTTTACTATTATTTTTGAAAACTATTTGTAGATGGGGAAATTTGGAAGTTATCGCTTTTTTGAGCTAGGACAGGGATGTATGGAATGGATCTATATTGGCAAATCGTGGTGGGGGACTGAGAGCAATTTGTGGGAGACTGGTGAAGATGGGGTTTTGATTGATTCTTGATCAAGTTTTTTATAATGTAATCAGGAAAAGCGTTGGATTTCAGGATCTTGTGTAGTTTGGTTAGGTTGTTATCGTGAAATTGTGGGTCGGTTAATGTAAAACTGCGGTGTATCAGGTTTTTTGCTACACTGATTTTTTGGTGGTAAGGGTGTTGGGAAAAATAGTTTAGGAGACGGCCTGAGTAGGTAGGTTTGGTGTACCAATTGGTGGATAAGGTGTTATCATTATTTCTGGAAATGAGGAGGTCAAGAAATGGGAGAGAATTATTTGATTCTATTCAATGGTAAAACGGAGTCGAGAGTGGTATGAGTTGAAGAAAATGAATGATTGAAGAAAATTGGTCCACCATAGAAGCACACACTTCCCTCAATCAATCCTCATTCCTTCAGTCTCTCTCTCTTTATGAATGTTGGCAAAAATAAATTTTTTTTTTTAAAAAAGACTGCGTCCTGAATATTTATCACCCATGATATGTAGAACAGTCGACTAACTTCCTTCAAGAATTCAATACCCTGGATTAAATTTTTGGATGGATAGGTTTGGTTTTCTATAACATCTGAATATGGCAATGTTTATTAAGGAGATTGATTTTTTTTTTTAATTTGGCTCTTGAAACTGAGATCAATAAAGTAAAACTGTTGAAAAATAACTAATTGTTAATATTAACTTAATAAAGTGTCGCAATCTTTTTATAGAAATTAGGCCATTTAGACAATATAATTGATAAAAACTATTGCATATATTGATAATGGCATTATCTTATATGAAGGATTTAAAGTTAATAGTACAAAATTCAGCTTATTCACAGTAGAAATATTTAAATATTTTCTGTTACAGAATAAGGATAAAGAAAATCATAATGATGAGAATATATAAAAAAAAAATACATTTCATATTGTTAATCCCGCTTTGTTGATGTTTTCACTTTGATTGCTTGATTTTAATCACACACACCTTAGTTTTGTTTTTACTTATGATAATAGATTATGATAAGGTAAAACATTTCTTTCAAAATGTTGAATCAATGTGATTTAAATATTTTTTAAGAAAATTATATCACATACATGATGATCTAAAACCATAAAAATGGTTTCAGAGTGAGGATTGCAGATGAGTCCAATAGATGGAAACAGATAATCCGGAAGCACAACATTGAAGAATGAAATCGACGATGGTTGACAATCCTGAAAGAAGCGACCTTAAGAAAGTTCTTCCCGACTGTACATTCGCGGTTAACGGCGAAATGGATGCTCCCAAATTACTTGGTTTCTCAAGTCCTCACGGGGCATGGGGCCTTTCAGGCCAAACTACACAGTTTTGGCAAGGATGTTGACCCCTTATGTCCCAGGTTTTGTTTGAATTTTTTGAGTTAAATATGAATTTATTTTTTACTGAGGTTGACATAAATTTTATAACTATTGATGGAGGATATTTTGTATTTCATTCGATATATATCATTAATCATTTCAGGTATGTTATCAAACTTGACTTTCACTGCAACTTTTCTAATAATAGAAAATAAGTTTTCATTCTCGTTAAAAGGGACACTTTCTATTTTTAATGATGTTCTAAAATGTATTTGTGAATTATCGATAATATCTTTTTGTAGGTTACCTGCTTTTTAGAGCTTTATTTTCTCTTTTCAAACTATTTTGTAGACTTTTATGTCCTTCTTAACTTGTGGCCATGTTTTATTAAAGTCAGATTATCAGTTTGTATACTGTTTGCTTTGTCATCAAGAGTTTTAATGTCATTTTTTATGGCTTATAACTTTCTTAAGACTATGGTGTTAAAATCTTCATTTGATAGTCCTTTTTTATCAACCATTATAATTGTTTTTAGTGCAAGAAACAAGGAAATAGAGAAATATGAATGTAATCTTCCAAATAGAGGTTAACTTTGTGATAAGGGCTGTTATCAATGTAATAGTATTTTAATCAATGTAGTCAATTATAACTGTGCTTATGATTAGTTATTATTATATTAAAGTAGTGTTTTCTATATTGCCCTTAAAAAATACTGCAAGTACAGGTCGTATATCTCATTCTCCTAGTACAGAGGACATACAGGGCATTCCATGACTCCGATCCTGTGCAAATGTCTTTGCAGGTAACCATGTTAAAACTAATAGTGGTATTAAAATAAAAATCAAATATGTAATACTGAAAATTTTAGGCAATAGATGTGCAAAAAGTATAATTTCTGAGTATAAAAATCGGGTGTGGTGCAGTAGTGGATCCAGCTGGGGAGAGCATGCCTACCCCTGGAGGCTGGAAAAAAAATTCCCAAAAACAGCTATTTAAAGAAAAGAGAAATGTAGGAAAAATTTATCCTCATACACGAATTTCCTAATGTAATATATAAAAATAAATTACTATTGTGACCAGCACTAGCGAATTCTGCCAGGGGGCGCACCCTTCCTTGAATGGTGTAAAAAAAAAACAAAAAAAACGATAAAAACACCTATTTAAAGAAAAGAGAAATAAAAGGAAAATTGATCCTCATAGAGAAATTTTCTAATGAAAAATAAAAAAATTATTATCGTGACCAGCACTAGTGAAATCTGCCAGGGGGCACCCTCCCTTGAATGGTGAAAAAAAATTCCAAATAACACTTATTTGAAGAAATGAGAAATGTAGAAAAAATTCATTCTCATAGACAAATTTTCTAATGTAATATAAAAAAAGTTTATAATTGTGACGACCACTAGTGATTTTGATTTTCGATTGGAACAGATGGCGTTTTCGAGAAAATTGTACAAACGTCCAAAATCAATTGTGTAAAGTGGCACTTCCGGTTAGCCGATTTTGATGAAAAAGTTGCTGTAACATCCCACGTATATACAAACCTTAAATATGCAATTTAACTTTCATAAGACTCTTCGTTTTAGAGCTAGACTGTTCACAAAAACACACACACATACATAGACCATTTTGCGGGATTTGGTTATTAGGAATCAGGACACCTCAAAACATGTATTTCCGTTGAAACTCAGATTTGAAAATTTCCACAATCACAATACTTATCCTTACAACAGTTAAATGAAAGTAATAATACTTAAACTTGAAATTTAGAAGTATAATAATAAAAATAAAATAATTGGTTAAAAGGAACTTAGGCACCACAATACTTATCCTTACAACAGTTAAATGAAAGTAATAATACTTAAACTTGAAATTTAGAAGTATAATAATAAAAATAAAATAATTGGTTAAAAGGAACTTAGGCACCACATTTAAGAGAATCCAATCCATAAAATATGAAAAAAGAATTAATTACTTGTTAAATGATTATATATGAAATTTACTAAGAAAGGATGAGAGAATGCCCAACTTTATTGGACAAGAGTCCAATTAAGTATTGATGGACGAAACCCTACAAAACAGAAAAAGAAGCTACAAAATCAGTTCACCCATTTAAGAGATAATCATGGCACACATACACACAAAAAAAGATAAAATTGCTTAAATGCATTTTTCTAACTTAATTTAATTTAAAAACATATCATTAATTTAACCTAATTACTATACTTCCATTACCTAGTAGCAAAAGGAAAGTAACAAATTATGATTATAGTATAGACAAATCTGAAAAAAAAAAATCTCTAACCTGTATGACCCCTTTCATGGTTTACAACATGTTCTTTTCTAGTAAATGCTTTTCCACAGAATCTGCAGACATGAGGAGACTCTCCTGTATGCTGTCTTACGTGATTAACAAGATGTTCTTTACGTGTAAAAACCTGCGTTAAAAAAAAAGAAGAAGATAAAAATAGACTTATATATAAATAATTGTAATATTTTAAAAATTAATAATACTATAATGGTTGCACGTCTACACAGTCAAATGTTGCCAGGGTGCGGCATTATCTTTGAAGAATTAATTTAAATAAATTTTATTAATAATTCTCTGCAGTAGCATCACACACATGTGTGAGCAGACCCTAACGGCTGGTCCAGCCATCACACACATTTTGTGTGAGTAGCCACTAAGTGTTAAATTATATTACTAATTTTATAACCTCGTAGTTAATGAGTACAGCAGCAAATAGTGCAATGTAAGGTCTTACTGCACTGATCCTCATGTTACACTTTTTATTGTGTGGGAATGGAATATAGTAGATTCCCAGTAATAAAATGTCCAATTCCCCCAAAATCCCCTTTTTAGGCCTATTATTCCTCAAAATAATGGACTGTTGTATTTTACATCATTTTTAGAATCCGTAGAACATATATATATATATATATATATATATATATATATATATATATATATATATATTGTAACGTTTTCAAAAGGAACAAAAACAAACAAACGAGTTTCCTTTTTGAATATCTTATTTATTTTACACATATAACATAATCTCAAGGTTGGGTTCTGACACCTGAACACTCATTCCTATTTATAAAGACAATGTACACTAATTCATTAATTACTACTAGACTTATTTATAATTTAAAATATTTTATTAAATAATTTGTCCCGGTCTAAACTTTTGGTTCTATCCCTCTGTCAACATAAATGGCATTGTTAGCACTCACCCAAATGTTGACCCCTGCCAGCGAAATAATCTCTTCTTACTTACGATTGTCCACTTAATGTTTCTGTACCACTTAATTAATTTCTGCTATATTCTTTCTTCCAACATAAAATAATCTTCCTTAGTGGCCTCTGTCAACACTCGAACCGGCTAAGACTCCTTTTCCTAATTTCTCCACTTGCTGGCTGGCACCTTCCCCCTTGGCCGCTTGTCTCCTTCTCTTGACGGCTCATGATCTTCTCTCTTAGCCGCTAGCACCTTCCCTCTTGGCGGCCCGTCGCAGTCTCCTTTCTGCCTTACATGAAGCTTGTTTCCCCCACTTTCTTCCCGTAGTTCGCGCCATCACCACCTTTGCGCCACTATCCAAATGCCATGTAATGTTGACATTACATTTCTCCTCCGTTCCAGTTTAAAAAAAATAAAAATGGAAATTTAAAATTCGGTGCAATATTTACATTTTTCTTTTTTTTTCATATAAAATAATAAATTTAACTTTTGACATTCACACTTTTTACAATAGATTTCCCAACCTGGTTATCAAACATTTACAATTTTATATACAAAATTATTGATTTATTTACACTATAATACCTTAATCTACATACAGCAATTACTTAACTTGTTCATCTAATTTATGGACAGGAAACATAGATTGATATACAAATAATAAAATAAGCTAAATACAATATTTACCAAAAGAATTTTACCGTACAATTCCCATATCTTATGTATAGTTAACTTACAAATTAACTGTTTAAATTATTTATATAACATTCAAAAATATATTTTAACTTGCATTATAGGAATAATCAGAGAGAAGACACTAATTAATTAAGACAATTTTTAACTTTCTTCTAAAATATGGATTTTACCTAGCAATATCCGGCCAACACAACTTATTTAACTTTTAGATATTAATCTATTATCCTATCTACCAACAATGTAATTAGACTATTTACAAAATCATATTAACAAGTTAATTATTTACAAGTATCCAGAATGGGTAACCTGACGATGGTTTCGTCAAGACCCTCTAGCTCGTCAACGGAAGGGACGCTAATTTAAAACCCTTTTTTATCCTCTGGATAGGATAAAGACTACCGTGCCTTAAAATAAGAGTTTAACCGGCCTGTCCTAACATGGTTCAGAGCCATATAACCATTATATACCTCATCTTCTAGAATAAGTAGGATGACTGGTAATCCATTACACTCAAAATTATATTTAGTGAGTCCACGGAACGACACTTCATATAATCCTGTTCTTTTCTTACTCCAGTCATCAAACTTACCTAACTCATCTTTAAATCGTAGAGTTAACTTTTCTGGAATTAAAGGAACTTCTGAAATAAAATAATTACCATGCTTTTCTTTGCTGGATTTTACTCCTATGAACTCAATTTGAAACTTGAGAAGTTCTTTCTTAATATCTATAAGATTAACTGTATGAGTTTCTACTAGGAATTCTGTTGTCACTAATTTTTCTTCAAGAGTTTCTTCATCTTTTCTTAAGAGATTTTCTGATCCAATATCAAGTGAAGAATTAATTTTGTTAAGCTCTTCAGTAACAATTTGCTTCTCATCACTTTCTGAGTGACCAATAGTAGTTTTCTCAGCCAGTTTAGTTTCTTGAACTTCAGTTATATTTGCAATAATTTGGGTTTCTAGGTTATCACAATCTTGTTTCAAAATTTCTTGTTCATTATTAGAACTTTTTTCATTCAGTGTAGTTTCTTGGACTCCAGACATAATTGCCATCATTCGGGTTTGCTTGTTTTCAATCTCATGAAGAACAGTTATTATTTGTTGAAGCATACCACGCACATCAGCACAACTGAAATTGTTGCTACTATTTATATCTATTTTTTCACCCTCCATATTATTTTCACTAAACTAATTTATTTTATTTAATCCCAACAGACTTTCACTTCCGTTTTCACACTGTCTATTTTCATCAAGCAGGCTTTGTACAACTGACTCTTCCTTATTTTCTACACTAACAACATTCCCATTAGATTTTTTAAGAATTATATTATTAAGATCTCTAACTTCTCTCTCTGCTTATTCTCCATATTAATTAAGAAATTATTAACAAAAAAAATAAAATTAAAATTAACAAAGATTGCGTGTTCAGTTGTCGTGACTACGTACGTTTTTAAAAAAGCTACGCTAGTTGGACGCCATATTGTGACGTACTCAAAAGCCACGCTCGTTGGGCGCCATGTTGTAACGTTTTCAAAAGGAACAAAAACAAACAAACGAGTTTCCTTTTTGAATATCTTATTTATTTTACACATATAACATAATCTCAAGGTTGGGTTCTGACACCTGAACACTCATTCCTATTTATAAAGACAATGTACACTAATTCATTAATTACTACTAGACTTATTTATAATTTAAAATATTTTATTAAATAATTTGTCCCGGTCTAAACTTTTGGTTCTATCCCTCTGTCAACATAAATGGCATTGTTAGCACTCACCCAAATGTTGACGCCTGCCAGCGAAATAATCTCTTCTTACTTACGATTGTCCACTTAATGTTTCTGTACCACTTAATTAATTTCTGCTATATTCTTTCTTCCAACATAAAATAATCTTCACTAGTGGCCTCTGTCAACACTCGAACCGGCTAAGACTCCTTTTCCTAATTTCTCCACTTGCTGGCTGGCACCTTCCCCCTTGGCCGCTTGTCTCCTTCCCTTGACGGCTCATGATCTTCTCTCTTAGCCGCTAGCACCTTCCCTCTTGGCGGCCCGTCGCAGTCTCCTTTCTGCCTTACATGAAGCTTGTTTCCCCCACTTTCTTCCCGTAGTTCGCGCCATCACCACCTTTGCGCCACTATCCAAATGCCATGTAATGTTGACATTACATTTCTCCTCCGTTCCAGTTTAAAAAAAATAAAAATGGAAATTTAAAATTCGGTGCAATATTTACATTTTTCTTTTTTTTTCATATAAAATAATAAATTTAACTTTTGACATTCACACTTTTTACAATAGATTTCCCAACCTGGTTATCAAACATTTACAATTTTATATACAAAATTATTGATTTATTTACACTATAATACCTTAATCTACATACAGCAATTACTTAACTTGTTCATCTAATTTATGGACAGGAAACATAGATTGATATACAAATAATAAAATAAGCTAAATACAATATTTACCAAAAGAATTTTACCGTACAATTCCCATATCTTATGTATAGTTAACTTACAAATTAACTGTTTAAATTATTTATATAACATTCAAAAATATATTTTAACTTGCATTATAGGAATAATCAGAGAGAAGACACTAATTAATTAAGACAATTTTTAACTTTCTTCTAAAATATGGATTTTACCTAGCAATATCCGGCCAACACAACTTATTTAACTTTTAGATATTAATCTATTATCCTATCTACCAACAATGTAATTAGACTATTTACAAAATCATATTAACAAGTTAATTATTTACAAGTATCCAGAATGGGTAACCTGACGATGGTTTCGTCAAGACCCTCTAGCTCGTCAACGGAAGGGACGCTAATTTAAAACCCTTTTTTATCCTCTGGATAGGATAAAGACTACCGTGCCTTAAAATAAGAGTTTAACCGGCCTGTCCTAACATGGTTCAGAGCCATATAACCATTATATACCTCATCTTCTAGAATAAGTAGGATGACTGGTAATCCATTACACTCAAAATTATATTTAGTGAGTCCACGGAACGACACTTCATATAATCCTGTTCTTTTCTTACTCCAGTCATCAAACTTACCTAACTCATCTTTAAATCGTAGAGTTAACTTTTCTGGAATTAAAGGAACTTCTGAAATAAAATAATTACCATGCTTTTCTTTGCTGGATTTTACTCCTATGAACTCAATTTGAAACTTGAGAAGTTCTTTCTTAATATCTATAAGATTAACTGTATGAGTTTCTACTAGGAATTCTGTTGTCACTAATTTTTCTTCAAGAGTTTCTTCATCTTTTCTTAAGAGATTTTCTGATCCAATATCAAGTGAAGAATTAATTTTGTTAAGCTCTTCAGTAACAATTTGCTTCTCATCACTTTCTGAGTGACCAATAGTAGTTTTCTCAGCCAGTTTAGTTTCTTGAACTTCAGTTATATTTGCAATAATTTGGGTTTCTAGGTTATCACAATCTTGTTTCAAAATTTCTTGTTCATTATTAGAACTTTTTTCATTCAGTGTAGTTTCTTGGACTCCAGACATAATTGCCATCATTCGGGTTTGCTTGTTTTCAATCTCATGAAGAACAGTTATTATTTGTTGAAGCATACCACGCACATCAGCACAACTGAAATTGTTGCTACTATTTATATCTATTTTTTCACCCTCCATATTATTTTCACTAAACTAATTTATTTTATTTAATCCCAACAGACTTTCACTTCCGTTTTCACACTGTCTATTTTCATCAAGCAGGCTTTGTACAACTGACTCTTCCTTATTTTCTACACTAACAACATTCCCATTAGATTTTTTAAGAATTATATTATTAAGATCTCTAACTTCTCTCTCTGCTTATTCTCCATATTAATTAAGAAATTATTAACAAAAAAAATAAAATTAAAATTAACAAAGATTGCGTGTTCAGTTGTCGTGACTACGTACGTTTTTAAAAAAGCTACGCTAGTTGGACGCCATATTGTGACGTACTCAAAAGCCACGCTCGTTGGGCGCCATGTTGTAACGTTTTCAAAAGGAACAAAAACAAACAAACGAGTTTCCTTTTTGAATATCTTATTTATTTTACACATATAACATAATCTCAAGGTTGGGTTCTGACACCTGAACACTCATTCCTATTTATAAAGACAATGTACACTAATTCATTAATTACTACTAGACTTATTTATAATTTAAAATATTTTATTAAATAATTTGTCCCGGTCTAAACTTTTGGTTCTATCCCTCTGTCAACATAAATGGCATTGTTAGCACTCACCCAAATGTTGACGCCTGCCAGCGAAATAATCTCTTCTTACTTACGATTGTCCACTTAATGTTTCTGTACCACTTAATTAATTTCTGCTATATTCTTTCTTCCAACATAAAATAATCTTCCTTAGTGGCCTCTGTCAACACTCGAACCGGCTAAGACTCCTTTTCCTAATTTCTCCACTTGCTGGCTGGCACCTTCCCCCTTGGCTGCTTGTCTCCTTCTCTTGACGGCTCATGATCTTCTCTCTTAGCCGCTAGCACCTTCCCTCTTGGCGGCCCGTCGCAGTCTCTTTCTGCCTTACATGAAGCTTGTTTCCCCCACTTTCTTCCCGTAGTTCGCGCCATCACCACCTTTGCGCCACTATCCAAATGCCATGTAATGTTGACATTACAATATATATATATATATATATATATATATATATATATATATATATATATAGTATTATAAAGGGGAGATATATATGTATTATAAAGGGAAGATATATATATATATTTTTTTCGGTTAGCGCTACAGACCATGAGAAGATCTTTGGACGCGAGAAGTGGTCTCCTTACAGATATATGTTGCTTGCAGGAGCTCAGATAGCCTGGAGGGGGTCATCCAACCCCACGTTGCAACGAACCATGGTTACCATTACCATGGTCCAGCGGCAGGCCACGCATAACTCCATAGCCGATCCCTTTTGGGACCAATCTGACACTGTCTTTCCTACTGACTCACTCTGCTTCAAGGACAGTGACAAATCGGTCTAGATCCATGGATTATGACTGCACGGAGTCAGCAGGCGCACGAGGACCTATATTTCTTTTCCTGAAACACACTGTCCATGGATGGAACCTCAGAGGGGCTATTAACATCCTAGTAGACCACATCCCGATTCCTGATTAAGTACACGGGGTAGGTTCATCAGTCTTACGCCCGGTCGGTGTGAGTTGGCTCCTGTAGAGTGACGGGTCCGATATACCAGGGGTGGGGGAGGGAGAGACTCGGGCATCATGGTTTTTCCCTGGTGGACGGTCACCCATCCAAGTACTAACCACAATCGACGTTGCTTAACTTTGATTACCTATTGCAAGCTCCTTAGCCCGTACGTTTGCCCCAGCCCCCTATATATATATATATATATATTATTATATATATTATATATATATATATTATTATATATATTATATATATATATATATATATATATATTATATTATATATTATATTATATATATATATATATATATATATATATATATAGGTGCAGAGACGGAATGGGATAATGCATGTACACAACACCGCCTGGCATCCCGGATTACAGATAATATGATATAACAATACAGAGTTCGTGCCCCAGTGCCAAGGGAGCCTTTTAACTCTGGCATGAATTCCCCACCCTCATCCCCTGGCCCGGGAAACCCCTGTTATATAGCCTAAAAGACGAGGAGGGAAGAAAAAAAAAAAAAAAGAAAAAAAAAAAGTGAAATATATATTATTTTTTTAAAGGAGTCCCTTTATATCAAATTAATTTTGACTTTTAAATTGAAATATTTTTGTCCATCCCATTTTTGGGTCACATCTTTTCCTCCACTATGCCTAACTCTAACGTACTTTTTGAATTTTAATCTATATATATAAAAATGAATGTATGTCTGTCTGTTTGTCCTTTATGCATTACTAAACCATTCATCTGATTGCCATGAAACTTTGGGAAGTTGTTGTGTACACTCCCGCGAAGGTTTCTGGCATAGTACTTCTGTCTTACGATAATTTTATATGTGTAAAAATAAAATAAAAATGTAAATGTTTTTTGTTCAAAGCTGCTATTCTCCGAAAGTTCTTCACCAATTATTTTGAAAATTTGACAGAGTTGCGATCGAATTTAGGAGTGATTTTGAACAGTTTATTAACATCCGGCCTTTCGTTTCGAAATAGCAGTCTAAAAATGTGTCGCTATAAACTGTAGTGCCAAAACGGCTTTAGCGATTTTAACAAAACTTGGCTAAAGTCTTCCCCTTAAAACTCTCTTAATTTATGTGTTTAACATAGTTTCCCAAAAACAAGCTGAAAAAATGTTAGGATGAATTCAAAATTTTATTTGCTGATAACTAAAAAAGTAAACAATTCTTGATTGATAATTCCCATATTTATTTGAAAGATTCCTGAATACCCTGAACTGCTGCGTTTGACAAATCCTTTGAAATCCAAGCTGTCTCCCTCTAGAATCCTATTCCTCCTGATAGTAGACGTATACAATCAGTTTCCTCTTTCAAACTTCTCCTCTTTAAACACCTACTCCTTTTTCAATCAGACTCATAATGAAATTACCTAACAGAACTCTTTAAGTACAGTGACTTAACCCAGAGACTATTCCTGTTTACTTATTCTGTCATTCTGGTTTCCGATATTTGTTTTACATATATGTATGTTTACTCTCTCTCTCTTTTTTCACTTTCAGGATGTAAAAAAAGTTTCTCTAACTTCTAAATGAACCATAATAATCATAACCATACCATTTTGCAACAAGCTACTAGAGACTACTGTTAATTTTTACTGCTAAACAATAAGCATTTATAAAAAATATATACAGAATAATTCAATTACAAAAATGGAATATTTCTATTGACTAAGCTTTTAACTGCCCTCAAAATAATTTGTGCAAATTCTATAGCAATAAATTTATGGTGGTCTCAAACAGAGGAATATACTTTATATAATGTACACGTGTTCCTATCACAATAATGAAGAATAAATAAAAAAGAATCATATTACGAGAGTGAATACAAATAATATAACTTTATGATTTAGTCCTTATGATAGTTTAATTATTTTTTTTATATTCCTTCTGCTAGAATTTTCGGGATATGTTCTTCCAATCGTCAGAAACACATAATTTAAAGTTAATCGTCGGTCACTTTATTTATTTTTTTAGTAACAGTTATTTATTTAGTAGCAATTATTGACCAATAACTGAATAATGACCCATACTTTCCCAGTTTTCGGAAAATTCTCATTTGACTGACACTCTGAGTTTTATATACCTTACTTATATTGCAAAGGTAAATTATAACATACCTTATGACAAAGCCCACAACGATGTGGTGAGGTACCAGTATGCCATTGAACATGATTAATGAGGTGTTCTTTTCTTGTAAAAATTTTCAAACAAATATGGCATTTAAAATCTGCTTCATGGGCTTTAATATGGTTGTCTAAATGATCCTTTCTGGAGAAACTTTTGGCACATAGATGACATTCATGAGGGTTTTCACCTAAAGCAGTAATATAAGAGCTAATCATAAAACATCGACTGACACTAGGAAAATTTAAAAACAAAAAATAACAATATAAACATTAACACAAAACCAATTTTTTTTTTCAAAGCAGGCCTCAGATCAAAGAAGGACATCTGCCATTTGTAAATGATGAAAAAAAGCTAAGTTTTGTAAGATAACTTCAATTTAGACCATTTGTAATGAATGATTGTTTTTCATGATTCAACTAGAATATACTTATATAAAATCATCAGATACAGTTTGAGTTGAACCTATAAAATAAGAATAGACTTTTTCTCAACTTTCTAAAAATTACAGATGTTCATCTTACATATGAAACCACTCAGTTATTTCATAAGTGACACATATTACTTCACAAATTTCATGTAAACAATAAAAACTATTTTCAAACTATCAAAACTATATGGTATAAACATGCTATGCAGTTTTATTGAACTAAAATATGCATCATTTACCAATGTACCCAGAACCAATTTCTATTTAAAACTGGAGCAAATGAAACGTGTGCTGTTTCTAAAATAACTGATTCAATTACGATAATTTAGTATTTTTATAATGTACGTATATTAAATTATTATGAGATGAATCAATTATTATGAAGAAGGAGAAAGGAATCAAATTAACTCCCACTATCAATATTAATGAATAGAACAATAACAATAAATAGCAACATTCCAAAAATCATTTAACCAATCAGTATTGTTTGTGTTAACATAATGATGTATGGATATTCTTCAATTATTCTGTGGAAAATTGAAGGATTTTGATTTTTTAAATTAATTCACTCCCCAAGATAGAGTGAGAAACACCATGATGAGAAACAATCTCGGCCTAAAATCATAACGGGAAACCTTGGATGAGAATTGTCTGCATTGGTTTGGAAATGTCTCATGGATGCCAGGTGATAGAACAGCTAGATTGACCTATGACGTGAAGGTAGATGGAAGAAAAAGCAGAGAACGCCATAGGAAAACCTGAGAAGAAGGCGTTAGTGGCCAGGGATCTGGATTGGAAAAGAAGAAGGAGCTGGTACAGGACCGAGCAGAATGGAACAAACTCTACAGAGAGAACCCTCACACTGCACCAGGTGGTAGACGTGAAGCAGATTAAGAAGTAGCCATAATTGCTGTCGAGTTTTATTCCTCAGGTAATTCGCTATTGGCATCTTTGTGCTCCATAAATAACTTCTCCATACTCACAAAATGGTTGGGTGGAGCATCTTTTTTCTGATATCTCGTACTAGATAATGATCTCCTTAGATCTTAAAGTTTTGTTTTATAAATATCTTGCATATTGTTAGACGTTCTTTCTTGAATCTTAAATATTCAAGATGATTGCTGGCCACAGCTGAAAACTAAATTGTTTGTGCTATATTTTCTCGTTTCAATTTATTTGAAATAAAATCTGCTTTCTCAATCACCACCAGTAAAGCACCTTCTTCACGTACACTTTGAATTAGAAATATTCAAACAGCAAAGCCTGGTCATGCAAAGGGACAAAGAAACTAATAAATTAAACTACATTCTTGACAAATTTATTAAAAATTTAATTTCTGGATATGTATATATATCTATATATTTGTGCAGCAAAAAAGGAGAGAAGTTTAACACTTCCCTTGACAACGATGGAATATACAAACACAGGCATAGGCCATGGTAATACGGTCAACCCTACCAATTTTTTAGTTTGGGAGGGATGGCTGAACAGGCTAACGCGTGTGCATAGCACTGCTGTTGCCCGGCATACTGATATATAAGACAAATTGATAAAAAATAGTCGCAAGTTCGTGACCTGGCGCAGATGGAATAGGGGGAGTCTATTAAATCCCCGCCCTCACCTCCTGGCCCATTTCATCCCCGTATAGCTTTAAAGGCGAGGAAGGGGAGGACTCCACAAAAAAAAAGTATATATATATACTGAACAATATTGCAAAGAATTCAACATAAAGCTCTCCTAATATAAAATTATTCTTCAAAAATATAAATTAAATCAATTGTAAAATAAGACAGTGGCATACCTGTGTGTTTAGCGACATGGTTGGCTAAATGTTCTTTTCTTGAAAAACAACGTCCACAGTAAGGACAAGGTAATTGAGATTTATTTTCATCCTTTATTGTGCTAGTTGCACTATCTACTTTTTCTTCAAAATTAATATTTGCTCTGTCATCCTAAAACAAAAAAATTAGGAAAAATAATTTGCAAATATAAAAAAAAAAACTATGACACTGAAATAAAAATTAATTATATTTTAACATGAATTGCTACTTCCTCAAATGTTTCATGATAAATTAGGAAATCGGTAGAGGATAAAAAAAAAAATCTGAAATACGTAAATGAATTATCAAATGGTGAAGGAAATCAAGTCCAAAAACATCAGTTTTTTAGGAGACACTAAAATTGACCTACTACTTCCTTTTTGATGGCGGACCTTTATTTTTTCATCTAAAATTGTACAATATAACTTTTTGACACCTGAATACTAAATTATCAAAAATACATAACTATTAGCATTTAAAGCCTTGAAAGTAACTATGCAATTTACAAGGGGACGTAACGGACGTGGGGACACAGATTTCAATGAAACTTTTTTTCGTGATAGTAGGTCGAAAAATATTAGACCCATGTCCAAGGATTCTTGCCAATCTTGACAGATTTGTTGTTAGGGTTTACTAAAACTCTTTAATACGACTTTGTTTTGAAATAAAAAATATATAAATTTTTGGGTTCAATTTATGGGAGGATTTTTTTTCATGGCGTTTTTTGCCCAAAAATAACAATAAAGCATTTATTGTACATATTACACCATGAAATATATTTTTTGGGGATAAAAAAATATGACATTCAGTTTTCACACACCTAAAATCTCTTAAATAAGCATTTTCATTTTAATTGAAAAATGTAAATTTTTTGTTTAAATATTCTGCCTTATATTAATATCTTTTGTGAGATTCATCTAAGTTTATAGCTTAATAGTAGATATTAGAAAAACAAAATACATTTATTTTTCTATTGCAACAAAAATGCTTATTTAAGGGCTTTTAGTGGAGTGAAGAATGAATATCATATTTTTTTACTCCCCAAAAATATATTTCATGATGTAATATGTACAATAAATGCTTTAATTCTCATTTTTGGTAGTTAAAAAAATAAATAAAACGCCAATGTATTAAAAATTAGAAACCGACGCCATCTCACCAAAATTTATAAATTAGTTTCTGAAAATCTAATCTTCTATCGTTTGAAATATTTGTATAATACGAAAATGGTCATTCTACAACAGACGTGATAGAAGCTAAATTGTATCCACTTAAAGTTATTGACTTGTTTTGAACAATAGATGATGAATTTCAATGAGTTTAAAAAACAGTTTCATGTTTGGAATCGCAAGGGTCGTCTGATATTCCAATTTTGAAGAAAATGAAGCACTTAAAATTATTTTAAAAAATATAACCGTTTATAAAAAAAGAAAGACATCGAAACTGAGTCTGGTGTTTAGAATTTGAAAGAATGAGAAAGGGAAATAAAATTTTAAAAAACAATAAATAAAAAAATCTATATTCTAAGAAGTCAATAACAGAAGGGGGCGTTACTTTTTTGTTGATTGAAAATCAAAATGATATTTACATTTATCATCAAATATGCAGAGTATAAAATTAGACAAATTGCATTTATTTGCATTGATTTTTATAGATATTTGATCAGCAGTTTAAAACCTACAGGCAATCAAAATATGCAATTGCAAACAAATCCTAGCTTTGGATATTATAATTTTTTTCTTCACCTAAACAGCAGCATTCACGTCTTTTCTCAGAAAAATATAATAACATTTTAAACAATTTCAGTCTGATTATTCTGTTTGTTATATATTTTTGATTTGTCGTGCAAAATTAAATTTTAAAAGTTTCCATTTAGTATTTAATAAAATCATATCTAGTTTTTATTAAATAACATTCAAGTACAAAGAAGAGGCCGTGGTGGCCTAGAGCTTGTTAAGGCGTTGTTCGATTTATCAAACTCAAGTCGACATCGGCGTATAGATGCTTCTAACCAGGTCTTGAAATGAAATATTTTATCTTTAATCAGTTTATGTATAACTTTAACTTTCCTGCTATTTTAGAACTAAAACTTTCGTCGTAACTTTTCAAGTAAAGCTTTTACAGGACGTTAATTAAAAAAAAAAAAGTTTAAAGTTATGTTAATTCTATTCATTGCACCAAAATGTCACTCTAAAAAATGGTATTTAAGCAGTATATTTTTGGCTCAGGGCACGTAAAAATCAAGTGATTCATTTAAGATAAAGTATTTGTATTCTAAGCCCATCTACTATTTATTTCTCATTTAACGAAACCATTTTTAAAGAATATTAATAAATAAAAGTTAAAATGATGTAGAAATGGTTGACCGTTGATATAATATGAGAAGGAGTTAGTCGAGGGTGCGGTCAAATAAATAAAAAATTAAAATATATTAATTATTTTAATTTTTGCCGACGTTTCGACCCACTTTGCAGGTCGTCTTCAGGGATACAAAAGATACAAAACATAGTGAAAATAAAATAAATGAATATAAGTAGACATAAAATAAGAAGAAGTTGTCCAATACAGAAATAAAAAGATGATATCAGGGATATAGTGGGTGACAATGTAGTTAAAATAACAAGTATTATATATGTAGAAGATACAAACAAAAATGGAAAATAAGTATGAATAAAAATAGAAAGTAAAGGAGAATATAGCATGTAAGTTAAAAGTAAACAGATTGCGATAAAAGATAAGGAATGAGTGTATAACAAACTAATAAAGATTCCAACCAAACCAACTAATTATACACCTCCCATAATTATAAACCCATAATCTTACATTGGAAATTGAATAGCTGTAACTTCATTAATAGTTTTCCAAAATGAACGATTTTTATATGGCTTTGTAAGGAATTTCATTACCTTTCAAACGAAAGGCTAAATGGCATTTTTTCAGGACTCAGAGGGCTCTGAAACGTATAGATCCGTCGACAACAGCATATCGGAAATTTGACCCGATTGCAATACTTTCCTTACCTAGTATAGGTAGGAAAGTAAAAAAATTAAAGGTACTTTAGAGGAAGAAATTTTGAAAATTAGTCATTTAAGCCCTGCTAGAGAACATCAATGAGGAATAAGACCTACATTATATTAAAAACTGATTAATAGTACACAGATACACCGAGTTTAATCAAAATCATTAGAGCAATTTTCAAGAAAATTGTAAAATTGGTGGTATTAATTGCCACTTCTGGTTAGCTGATTTTGATGAGCAGTACGGTTATGTCATCATACCCAACATCTTTTAGGCCAAAGAAATATACTGCATTCTATTACTTCAAAGTAGTATTTAACTACCAGCAGTCACTGCCATTTACTGCGGTAGGGAGTACCAGTAAAAATAGTACTTTTATAACAAGAGTCCACAAAAATTTTTAAAAGTTCTTAAACTGATCTTACATCAGGAAAAGTATGGTATCGTGTGTGTACAATAAGCTGGTACCTATATGGAAACACTCGCCCACACACATTACACTGGTGTCCTTCACCTTTTAACTGTCCAAAAACTTCATGGCAGAAGAAGTTATTAAAATCATCAGTGGTAACCTAAAAAAATACATTTTTTATTTTACATATTTCCAATAAAAAAAAAGTAACTATAAATTATAAAGATATATATACAAACTTTTAAGGTTGCTTGGGTTGTACAATCAGGTTTCGTATCATCAATATTTAGATAATCACCACTGTTACTAAAAAAAAAATAAGATACAGAACAATAGTTTAAAAACATCACAGAAAAGAATCAAATAAAATAAAAATATATATTATTAATATTTTCTTCTTTCATTCACATAAGTTTAATATTTGGTTAAGGAACAAGTTGGTAAAATTCTAGTTGATTATTCGTGTTTGCCTCACAGTGGATAAAGGTGTTTTTAATTCAGTTGCCTGAATGCATAAAATCACCTTCATTCATTTGGCCCATCAACTGACACTATAATTCTTGAATTTTGTAACATATTCTCTTTAAAAGAATAGAAAACTTTTTACATCAAGCAAACCAAAAGAAAATCAATTTATCAGAGGGCTAGAAGAAACAACTAAACAATTTAAGAAAAGTGACTATTTAATAGAAGACAAAATGATAATCTAAAAAAGGCTAATTTAAAAATCATATTTTTCACCTAGAAATTGCATCTATTTTTACTAGTGCTAATGATAATTTTTTAAAAATAAAAAAATCAAATATCTATATATGTAGTGAAAAAACACTTTTACTAAGATGTCTTATTGTTAATAAAATATTTACAAACCAACGTTTCAGATATTTCCTACATCAACTGAGTTCTATTCGAAGAAAATAATACAATCAAACAAAATTAATCATGATCAATACATAAATATAAATTCTAAAACCACAATCCACATTACACTTTTTAAAACAGCTTTAACTATTAATAATAATAATAATAATAATAATAATATCTTCGACAGCTTCCTCTTCGACAGCTTCCTTCAGGTAGTGGCGGAGCAAGTGGCGCCACCCTGTCGCAAAGGACCACAAGACTGCAAGAACCGGCAACTAGTTCGAGTTCGGGCTTGGGCGAGACTATTTCTCCTCCCGCACGAACCCGGCAACAGAGACCAAGAGGTGCTCGAAGGATGAAATGGACGCCAGAAATGAACAAGGCTGTCATCCAGGCATATCTTTTGGCAACAAAATTGGAAACAGATAAGACGGGATACCTAGGAAGGATTCAACAGTATTGGCAAGAACTATATCCACAGATGACTATGAGTTCACAAAGGATAAGTGACCAAGTTAGAGTGATCCGTTCAAGAAAATTTCTATCTGAAGTGGAAACAGAAAATATCAAAATAGTAGTACCTGAACGATTAGGAATGGTGCAAATTGAAAATGAAGAGCAGCCAACAGAACCTTTTCTAGAAAGATCGATGGCAATAGAGGCAGCTCCTCCAGAAGAAGAAGACAAAGACATTGACAAACTAGTGGAATCATTATTATCCCAGCATGTGATTTATGAGGGGATACCGCTTGATGTTAGACCAATCCTCTCAAAGATTCCCTATAGCTTCAAATCACGGTTGACTGTGAATCGGGTTAATGAGGCTCTGAGTAGAATTATTGTAGATTACCCAGAAATGACTGTCGAAGCTGTTTGTCATTGGGCCTATGTTGCAGCTAGTGTCATTATTATTGAACTTGGCTTGGAAAAACAAGGAAAAAAGAAAGATAAAAATCATACAAAACTTCCACGCTGGCAGAGAAGATTGGAAAATAAAATAGCGTCGCTCAGGGCAAATATTGGAGTCATAACGAGTTATATCAGGAACCCCGTAGGAGCAAGTACAAAAGTAAAACGAAAAATCGACGAAATAGTTGTACTACAAATAGGGGTGGTGTTAGAATCTGAGCTCACCGAAAAACTGGCTTTACATGCTGATATACTGAAGCAAAAACTTGCAGTTTATGCAAACAGAATACGAAGATATAAAAAGTCGTTACTTCGAAAACAGCAGAACAAAATGTTCAAAAACAGTGAGCAGCAGTTTTATCGGAGCTTAGGTAATGATAATAAGGGAGGTGCAAATTGTTCATTAACTGACAATATTATAGAGTATTGGAAAGAGCTTTGGGAGCACAATGTAGAGCATAATAATGAAAACGAATGGTTAAAATTAGTAAATGCTGAACTTCAGGAGAAACCTCAAATGCCAGAATTCGACATCTCGAAAGAGGATGTAATCATCGCTACAAAGAAAATGAAAAATTGGAAAGCGCCGGGTAGTGATAGAATTCAGAATTACTGGTTAAAGAATCTATCCTGCCTGCATGAAACACTTGCAATGAATTATAAAAAAATGATAACAGGGCAGATAGACATTCCCAACACGTTTTGTGAGGGCGTTACTGTGCTGATTCCCAAAAAAGTAGGAGATCGATTGGACCCCCAAGATTTTCGGCCAATCACTTGCCTCAACGGTGTGTATAAGATTTTAACATCCATCCTCACAAGTAAAATTGAAGTTCACCTGCAAACCAATAATTTGATTCCACTCGAGCAGCTTGGCTGTAGAAAAGGAGCCCAAGGGTGTAAAGAACTTTTGCTCATCGATTCATTCGTTGCAGGCCAGACGACCATGAATAAAAGAAATTTGTCAATAGCCTGGGTTGATTACAAAAAAGCATTTGACTCAGTTCCTCATAGTTGGCTTTTAAAAGTTCTGGATTTATATAAAATCCATCCTTATATTAAAGAACTTCTGAGGAAATTGATGGACAACTGGAAAACAAGACTGAGAATAGGAGATAAGCAATCACCTGAATACATTACCATTTCAAGAGGTATATACCAGGGAGACTGCCTCAGCCCCCTTTGGTTTTGTCTTGCGATGGCTCCATTGTCAATTTTATTAAATCGTGAAGAAAATGGATACAAAGTAAAATTTAATGAATTAAGTGCAATGATCAGTCATAGCTTTTATATGGACGATTTAAAACTCTACGCAAAGAATAAATCCCAGCTCCGGTCTATGCTAAAGACAGTCAGCCACTTTAGTGACTCCATACAGATGTCCCTTGGGACTGAGAAATGCGCAGTTCTTCACGTTATAAAAGGAAAACCAAATAATTCCGAAAACTTGTTTAATGAAGAATATCATATTAAGAACCTTCAGAAAGAAGATATGTATAAATATCTAGGGATAGAACAGCATTTAAAAATAGCTAGAAAGGATGTAAAAGGTAAATTGATAGGTTCATTTAAAAAAAGACTAAAGATCATCCTTAGAACACATCTTTCTTCAGGTTTAATGATAAAAGCTATAAATACATGGGTTATTCCTTCCTTATCTTACAGCTTTGGAATTCTAAAATGGTCCACAACGTCACTCCAGGAATTAGATAGGTTAATAAGAACAAGTATGACGGGTTCCAGAATGCACCACCCGACTGCATCTATGGCAAGGCTTTACCTGCCAAGAAAGGAAGGAGGGAGAGGTCTTACAAATATTGAAGAGTCTTGTCGAAATCAAGAAAAGAACCTAAGGGAGTACTTTAAACAAAGCGCAGTGCCGTGTCATAAGATAATCTGCAATCTCGATCGCGGGCACACTGCTCTACAATTAGCCTCTCATGAAACTGCGCCAATCTTTGTTACCGACAAAGACCGCATGGAAGAATGGAAGTCAAAAGCATTACATGGAAGGTTTTTTCACCAGCTTCAGCAGACTGAAATAGATAAATCTTTGTCTGTTAGCTGGCTGGTAGGAGGAAGTCTGTTTCCCGAGACTGAAGGTTTTTTAACTGCAATCCAGGACCAGGTTATAGCTACCAGATCCTACTGGCGACACGTCTTGAAGCAACAGAATGTATCGGACAAATGTAGGCTCTGTGCAAGCACATATGAGTCCATTCAACACATAACTGGAGGCTGCGGAGCTCTTGCAGGTACAGAATATCTAAAAAGACATGACGATGTTGCCAAAGTCTATCACCAGGCAATTGGTCTAAAAATTAAATTATTAAACGACTCGAAGCCCTACTATAAATATTGCCCTAAAGGTATTTGCCAGAAAGATGACTTAAAATTATATTGGAACCAATCGTTCATAACAGACCATCTCGTGATCCACAACAGACCTGATATTGTATTAATTGACGGTAATATTAAGGTGGCTGAAATTATAGATATCGCTGTGCCAAATGACGGAAACATTAACTCAGTCTGCGCAGAAAAAATTCGGAAATATCAAGGTCTAGCAGCTGAGTTAAAAAGTTTGTATAAACTTAATAAAGTAACCGTTAGGGGCATCGTGATCTCCAGCAATGGCCTGGTACCGGTGTCTACTGTGGAAGCTACTGACAGGCTGGGCCTCCCAACTCATGTAATAAAGGAAGCTCAGAAAGCGGTGCTGCTGAATACTGCCAGAATTGTAAGAAGCTTTCTCAACATTCAATAGTAATTAAAATTGAACATACCTGAGGTGGTTGGAGTTGATTCTCCCCCTCTCAAGTAAAAAAAAAAAAAACCTTTTGTAAAAGTGTTGACAAATAAAATAATAATAATAATAAAAGGCTTAGCTAACCCGAAGGATCGATGCCAACACCACCAATCGCTTACTACACACCTCCCTCCACCGTTCGCTGTCCAAACCCAGTCCCTTCAGATTGGCTTTAATGCAATCTTCCCAACTTCGCTTTGGTCTACCCCTCGGACGTTTACCATTCGGTACAGCAAATATTAACCTTTTAGGAATTCTCTCATTACTAAGCCCAACAATTTTACAAGCCCATTTGATTCACCACGATGAAATTACCTCAATTATATTACCCGGATACAATTCACTCAATTCGGCATTGTGTAACCGTCTGAACTCCCTGGTTAATTCATCCTTCATCAATTATAATATTTGCCGTAAAGAAAATATTTGATCAATAGTCGAACGATTCCGTCTAAATCTGCATTGGTAGTCTCCAATAATTTCCTCGGCGTATTCCGCGATTCAACTGGTTAAGATTAAAGTGAATATTTTATAACATACCGGAAGGAGTGAAATTCCTCGATAGTTATTACAATCCGTCCTCTGGTCCTTTTTGCGAATGGGAATAAGAATAGATTCTTTCTATTATTCAGGTAATTTCTCATTCTCCCAGATATTTTTAACCAACCGATGTATTTTAGAAAATCCAGCTTCCCCGCATGCCTTAATTAGTTAATATTATCGGTTCCCGCTGCTTTATAAGATTTTAATTTTCTGATAGCTACTTCAACTTCCTCTTTACTTGGCCCTCCTATTACCAGTTCAGCACTGGTACTCAGAAAGAGGACACAAATCATACTTTCCCGTATTTAAAATATTGTAAAAAAGGCTTCTTAAACTTATTTAATATGTCGACCCGATCGGTCAAAATATTGTTATTTTCATCGCTAATTCCAGACGTTAAGGGCCCTAAACATTTACATGATCTGTTTATACCTTTGTACATGTCTCTTACATTATTTTCGATTCTATTAGTTTCTATTTCAATTATTCTATTTTTAAGATACTCCCTTTTTTTTATTTTTGAGCAATTTTGTTGTTTCGTTCTTTGAGGTTCGGAAATATTCCAGATTGTCTTCACTAGGATTATTTAGAGCTTTTAATTTAGCGGCTTTTCTTTTTTCGCACATGTTTAAGCAATCTTCATCAAACCACGGTTTGTTATTCTTATTTTCCTTTTTTCTTAGACATGAGTTACTGACCGCTTTCATGTTATCCCTGAGCTCTACCCATAACTTGTCAACATCCTTGTGGTACTAGTCAGAAAGCTCTAAAGCTTCAAACCTATTCTTAACATCTAGCTCGAATTGGGTTCTAATTGATGGATTTTTTAATTTATCCAAATTAAAATTCTCAAAATCGAAACGGTTTTCTTTTCTTTTTTTTATGTCAAGTTTCGCAATTACTAATTCATGATCTGACCCACATTCTGCTCCGCAATAAGACCGTACATTAATTATACTGCTTTGCCAGCTATGTTGTATCAAGACATGATCGATTTGATTTCGTGTTTGCGAATCCGGTGATGTCAAAGTATATTTATAGATATCCTTATGTTTAAATGTAGAACTTTTAATTATCAGGTTTTTCGAGATGGCAAAGTTTACCAGACGGATCCCATTATCATTACTATATTCATGCAAACTTTCTTTTCCAATCGTCGGAACATGAACTTCTTCCCTTCCCACCTTTGCGTTCACGTCGCTTTTGGATCAGCAAACCTATTGTTTTTTGTACCCCTATAGTTTGGGAACAGTTTGTTCGATTTGATCCAAGGCTGGAGGAAATTTGGAGAATAGTGTACACAAAATGGCTAGTATCGATTCTAGTATTGTAAATTAATGCAAATTAGGGGGCGGGGTGGCCGAATAGGCTAAAGCGTGTGTAACAGCACCGCTAGTTGCCTGGCAACGGGATAACAGAGATTTGAGATGATATAAAAACTACGAGTTCGCATCCCGGTGCCGGAGGGGATTTTAAATTCCCCGCCCTCACCCCCCGGCCCAGGAAAGTCCCGTATAGCCTAAAAGGCGAGGTAGGGAAGAACAAAAAAAAAAAAAAAAAAAAAAAATTAATACAAATTGTAAATTAATGCTAGTATTGTAAAATTAATACAAATAACTGTTTAACATGTAATGACTGTGCAATGTGGTAGCCACTGAACATCAGAAAATGTTAAATTAGCAATATAGTTTTATTCTGCTGTCAATTCCATGTAACTGCCGCTACTTAGATTTAACTGAATCTCACTCACTTTTTTGGCATAAGTGTGCGTTTTTCCTTGATTAGATTTTTTATTTATTTATATCTCTTAACTTTCACCAAGGTTGTTTAACAGATAAATCATATGTATTTCGGATTCATGAATTCTGTCTTTGTTTATTTGTAAAAATATTTTATGAAGGTCAACAAAGATAAAAACACCGCTATTATTTAAATGTAACAATTTCATTATTTTGAATTACATTATATACTCATAAATACATAATTTACATATAAATATACGCATTTGTAAATTTAAATTAATTTTGACTCAAGATTATAAAAATTAACATCTTATTTGTGAGTGTTTATTTCGAATTTCAATTAGCTCGTTGTGCTCTTAATTTCCTCCTTAAAGTTTAAAGTAATAAGGATAAGTTCCACAGGTTTATGAACAAGTTATTATGAAAGGTAAGACATAGGCATCAACAAATTTGAAGTATGTATAGACCTTCTTTTCAAATAACTAGTAAAGTTGGTTTATATTCATATAAATCATCTCAAATTAGTTTTGTTTTATCTGATGGAAAATGTTGGTTTCGTCAACAATGAACAAATACAAAATTGAATTTTTTCAATGGATTTTTGTTCTAATCAACTTACAAGTGAAAACTTAAATATTGAAGTACATATCAGTACATGTTCAATATGTAAGTACATACTGTAGTGGGAATTGTTTAAGTCTTTTCTAAAATCACGAATAGTAAAATAAGCAATTCGCAAATTTTGAACTCTTCCACATTTTTGTAATAGCTGATCATCAAAACTCTCAAATATGTATTTTGAAAACGGACTCTCCCGATTTTTTTTTATTCTCAAACAAAAAATTATAAACCTTGAATTATAGGTCATTGTGTGGCTAATGAAACTAGTGAGGAAGCTATAATGACCTTACTTAGCAGACATTTTTTTTTTTTGAGATCTCTGAAATATCAATTTGTGAATGTTTTGTTAATAAAAAGTCATTAAATGGAAGTATTTTTTCACTACATATATTTACATATCTGAGCATATTCAAGTATTTTTCCGAATAGATAGAAAATTTATAATATAAAAACTGTTCATCCGCAATATGCAAAATTGTATAACATGTTAAATGATTTTCAAGATATTAATTTTCAAAAACAAATTAAAAACTATGATTTTATATTACCAGCAACTGTAGTATTAGTAGCATAGTTTATTGCACATAAATCCTGGATCCGCTAGTGGAAGGTGGGAATTATTATGTGGATAACATTTAATAGTACAGACATAAACTAACCTTATTATTCAACTTTAACTACCAGAGAAAATGGCATGCATTAATTAAATAAGAATGAAACTCCACCATCAAATCTATTGCTAGGTTCACTTCTGATACAAATAAAAACCATTAAATTTAAGGCTAACATTTTTATTCAAATTTATATCAAACTAGGGCGCTAAATTGAAAAGATTTGGCCACAACGGTGAGCCATTTTAGCGAAATAGACAAGTATTAGCGGTTGACAGAATGAAATAACAGTCGCTAACGTGGGCAGGAGCACCAAAATAGTACCTTTAGAGAACCTCCCTACTGATCCTTTTCAGTTAAAATTGGGGCATTGGTTACTTGCTGCTTTCGATTTTCACTCACTCAAAAATTACATACAAACTGTCAAAAGGTCCTATTCAGTTACGATCTCGACCTTACCAGATGTTATGGTCACTCCCCTCTACTTTCTGGACACACTCAGTAATTATTAGGATTACATTTATAGTTACACACATTAAAGTGGATTAACATCTGCACAGTAGCTCCATAAGTAAAATAATTAGTATAATAAACAAATTGTTAATGTTATTCATTTTGAGCAGGTCAATCCTGTAAATATTAACACATCTATATCAATCAAAATAAGTGAGGCAAATTACCTTTGAGTTGAAGCTTCTTGTTTGACTGTTTCACCTGAATGATTAACCTTCCAAACAAAATACAAAAGCAAGAATTATTGAAGATCATGACATTTCAGACAAAATAATTTTAACAATTAACAATATTGAAGATGAACAATGCCATTAATAAGACATGAAAACTAATTATCTTTGTAACACCTCCTACATTATTTATATTAAAAATCATATTATATCATTTGTAAAAAAAGAAAGATTAAAGAATACCCATACTTGATGAACCATCCCTGAATTATCCATACTATCTCTTCATAGAAACGTACTTATGACGTAACGAAGACATTCCTATCATAAAGAAAGTAGGTTACAGAAAATTTTCTGGGTTGAAGATATCACAGTACAGTTTTAAAACAGTAATATCAAATAAAAACAATAAAAATAAACCTAACCTAAATTACTAGGTTAAAAAAGGGGATAAAACAAACCTTTAAAACCAGAATAGCCAATATAACAAAAATACATCAATTCCCGAAATGTTGTTTTCGGAATCATTTCATAATCAATGTAGAAGGCGAAAATAGGAAACAGTGAAAATCATAATTTTATAATTCATAATTCTAACACAAAAGCAAGCAGGAGCTTAAGAAAAAAGAGAGTAGCCGGACCCCAGTCCACCGAACTTCGAGGGGGGCCCGGCTTGGTTTACAAGGTTTTACTTTTTAACTTCTAAATTTACATTAAAATAAAATATTGATAATATTACAAATATTATTTAATAATTATGCAATATCTAATTGCATTATATTATAAAATATTATATTTACAATTAAATCTATTACAATAATATTTGACGGAGTCCGGGAAAATTATCCCTGGGGCACTTGGTTTCTTTAGATGGTATATGACAAGTATGAAAGGTGCGGTTTATGACAAGTGGAGACCACAACTTAAACAGGGCCTCTTAACACTAAGCATTTTAGATCTTTTCTCTAAAGTAAAAAAATAAGTAACAATTTAAAGGCAATAAATACATATATATGTTTATATTTGTTTGACTATGTCATAGATTTTTTTGCTTTTCCAGTCATTTTTAAAATATTTAATTTAAGATTTAAAAAGTTCTGAATCGAACCTGGGGCATTGGTTACCAGAGGCTCTACACGGCTGCTTAATAAAACACATACAGTCAGTCTGTGATCTGTCATATAAATTTTAAAAAATTGAAAGATAATTAATTGTCCACTAAGTTAAACATACATTTGGCACCGAAATTACTCTCTCCATAGACTTAAAATTTGGGCGTCAACCACCCTCGTTAGATTGCAATAAAATGTTATGGATCATCAAAATCGTCATATTTTATATTAAAAAATGGCTTTTTGAAGACGGGTGGAATCTTTTCTAAACAACACTAGTCCACTGCAAGCATAAAAAAAAACTTTTTTCCTTAAAAATTGACTTATTTGAAGACGGATGGAACCTATTCTAAACAAAACTAGAACTCCCAAGGCCTAAAAAAACAAGATCTGCCGACCGGAAGTGTTCATATTCGCAGACGCACGTCAAAAACCAACTTTTCTCCTAAAATTTTGACATATTTGAGGATGGTCACAATCTTTTCTAAACAAAACAAGGTTAACCGAAGATCGACAAAAAAACGTCTGCCGACCAGAAGTGATTGTATTCGTTGGCCAGACTCACGTCAAAAATCATCTTTTTTGGCTTCGATATTGCAAAAAGTTTAAAATGGTTGGAATCTTTTCTGAATAAAACTAGTCCACCGGGAGATTTAAAAAAACACCTGTTAGTCAAAAGTGGTTTTATGGGTTCGGCAGGTGCACATGCGAATGTACGGAGGGACGGGGAAGGGGCGGAATTTGGGGCTGAAATCCCCTTTCCCCAAAATGGTAAAATATAACTATGTTTTATAGAAAAAAAATATTAAAAACTATCTCTTAAAGTATTCTTGTTCGTGTGTATTTATATTTATATCGTGTAATTATATTTAATAGGACTTCAAGAATCACATAAACACCATTTCATATAGGTAATTAATTTCTCTAATTTTTTCAAATTAATTATTGTTATATGTATATGAAAAAAAAAATCATTCGGGCTGAAGCCCCCTCCAAAATTAAATCCTGGATCCGCCAGTGCCTCAAAACGTGTATTACCGTTGAAAACTCAAGACTCGAAAATTTTCACGACCGCAATACTTACACTTACTATATATTTCATCTGTACGTAAATGAAAGTAAAAATACTTAATTTAAGTAGTTATTAATTGTTTTACAGTAAACTAGACAAAATTTACTTTTAATGAAAATAGACTTTGTCATTGTTAAAACCTTTAATGAGGACTTTTGAGTGGATAAAAATAATAAATTATTCGTGATTTTGTTTAATTAATTTTCCAACTATAGTACAGATACCCCACATTTAGAAAAACTTCCTCATTGAATTAGCTTTAAGTTCATATTAATTAATTTAAGGTTTATTAGGAAAAAACTTGGAATTCACCGCAAGTTGTGTAAAAAAGTGATGTGATTTTATATCTTGTCATCTGAAAGTACCCGTGTTTTCATCATAAATCACATCAATAAATTATTGCAAAACTTTGTTTTATTTTTTTAGATGCCCTGAGATGTACCTATAATAATAAATATAAATGCATGCACACATTTTTTTCAGAAAAAAATAATGAAAAAAAAAACAATCTTGATTTTAAACAAATAAAAATCACTACCTACAAAAACTCATTTCTTATAATTCCAATACTCCCCGGTTTATGGCTTACCGAAAATCCATAAACCAGGCAATCTTGTTCGACTCAATCATTTCTAACTAAAATCTCCATCTTCTAAATTTCACAACTTTCTCCTCCCTTCCAACCAGTCTCTTAGCCAAAATAAAAAAATCCTTCCAACTATTAGAACAACTAAAATCCTTGAACATACCACCAAATTTAATCCTAGCCTCCCTTGAAGCAGAACGTCTCTTCGCCAATATTTCCACAGTCAGCGCTCTCTAAATAAACGAAGAAAATTGATTTACCAAAGGACCACACACTTTCCTCAATCAATCCTCATTCCTTCATTCTCTCTAGCCCTGGAGCCAGGGCCCAAAAATCGACCTGATCGCAGGCGAAGGTTTGATTGTAAATTACGAAAGTGTATGTTATTCTGAGTAACAAAATCTTTGTCTGCCGTTCCATACCACTGCTTTCAAAAATGGCGGCTGATTTAAAGAATAGTAGGCCAATAATTTTAGGATCGAAACGGGATACCCATTGCGAAAAATGTGAGAAACGTTATTATTTTTTTAACTTATATATATGGGTTTAGACATGTAAAAACAACATTACTAACGCAGGCCACCAAGGGGAACCTTTTTATAGCCAAAAAAGTCAGTTTTTTTCGATATTTTTTGGGTTTTTCACCTTTAAGTTCTAAACGATGCATCAAAGTGAAAAATGTATTCTTTAATAAATTAAAAAACGTTAAATTTTGCGTCAAACGAGGACATAAACTTTTAAATTTGGTTACGCGATAAGGTATAAAACCACGGTCAACCAACGCTGAGATTTAGCAAATTTGTCAAAAACTGAGACAAATTACTATAAATGGCCCTGTAACTTGTAAATGAGTTCCCTAAGAGGAAAAACCCATAGTATCAAAGTTATAGAACATCAAATTTTGCGTATACTGAGTACCAACTAATTTAATGTAGGTCCCTTGCTGCGAACGAAATCGGTAATCTCCCGATGGTTAGAAATTGATAATAGAGGTAAACGTGATTTTCAATACTTTAACAATATGGGTGTCTATTCTACTGAGTTAGTTTTGTTTAAAGTCGGTTGCATGCAGTATAAGCCTCTTTTCCACCTCTCAACAGTAAAAGATTTTGGTAAACGATGTGCCGAAAGATACCGAATTTTATAAAGTAATAACGAATCCCGATTTGACATATATAATTGGCCTACAATAAAAATGTCAGTAACCAGTATACGCAAAATTTGATGTACATACTCTACAACTTTGTTTTTATGGTTTTTCCTCTTATCGAACTCATTTCCAAGATACAGGGCCATTCTCTCTCCCTCTCCCTCTCCGAAAACTTTCGGCATTTACGGGCAAAAACTATCTTCAAATCAGACAATTTGTTCGGTCATACATCTCGGTTTAAATGGGATTTTATAATCACAAATTTTTGTGGATGAACGTTGCTATCTACACTTTATAACCAAAGTTTTAACCTTATTTTCCCTAATCTCCCTATATACTGGGCCCACAGATCCTAACCGTTATCCTGAATTCTTTTTCTGTAGCGGCTTAAGTCCCCTCAATTGTTCCATTGCACGTCTGAATGAATATTTAACGAAAATGGTCTGAATCTGAATTAGTCCACTAATTCTTAATGTTTCACTAGTTCCCGTTTCCTTCTCAACCTTCTCAGCTTTTTTTTTATTGGATAACCCCCCACTCGCCATTTGTGGCATACGGGAAGAGGGGGGAGTGTACTACAGGTACAACCAAACCTATTCTAACCAGAGTGGGAGGGTCGAGTTTCATTCCCTGGGTCCGCCACGAAATAAAAGTCAACTATTCCAAGGCCGGGTTCGAACCAGCGTCGCTAGGAACGAGGATGCTAAATCGGGCAACACTCCAACACCATCGGCCATCACGACCTCCTAAAAAAGCTTCTCCTAAAAAAGCTTCCCCTAAAAAGTTTCCTAAGAAGAAAGCTTCTCAACTGTCATTCATCACAAGCTGAGTTAACTGGACCATTCTTCACTTTTTTTTTTTTGTATAAATATATTAGGATATTGACTTCGGAAGAAAGGAAGAAACTAACTATATATATGAAATGATCTTAAAGTGATTTTTGAAGTCCTATTAACTATAAGTAGACGAACGATAATACTTTTAAATATAATTTTTTCCATAAAACATGATTATATTTTACCATTTTGGAGGGACGGGATGCTTCATCCCGAAGGCTCCTCCGTAGATCCACCCGTGCTCATGGAGAAAATATAGATAGATTTCTAATAGGTTTTACATCGATTAATGACTGTAATTAAGTTCTAACATCCTCTTATCAGAGTTTTCTTAGCAATTAAATTCGAAAAAAATTGTGCCAAAAATGGGGTCGCAGCTAAATTGTCTCTGAGCATGCTTACTATTATTCCAGTGACAATATGAGACTGAAATGGACGGCAGCTTGTGGGTTCAAAATTAGATACTCATTAATTAAATAAAAAAAATAATGGAAAATATCTCTAAAGGGACGAATTATTTAAACCTTTTACTGCGATCTAGTATTAGTGTTAGTGCAAAAAAAGTACAAACAGGGGTCGCAATAAGTATTCTGCATTGTTATTTCCTTAGACTTTGTCTTTTCCTTTGGAATATAATTCAATATAAATCGTTATCACATTTCATTCATATTTACTCTCCCAATAACACCAATTTTGGAATTAAATTTCATCACAAGAAATATTCTTTGCTTTCTGAAATATTTTTATATTACATTAAAAACTTCAGGTATGAGGAAGAATTCTCCCTATATTCCTCCTTTCTTTAAACCGCTGCTTTTTGGATTTTTTTCCCAACCATTTAGGGGTGGGGGAACGGCGCGGCTTTCTGCTGGATCCACTGTTGCTAGTCTAGATAATAATTGTTTTTAATATTACATTAGAAATTTCGTCTTTGTGGATGAATTCTCCCTATATTTCTCTTTTCCTTAAATAGCTCCTACTTGGAACTTTTTTCGAATTTCTATCACAATTCTCTTCGATCGTGGAAATCCAGGGGGAGGAGGGCACTCCCTGGCTGGATCCGCTAAGACTCAGCACAAACAAGGTTTAAGTAAAAAATACAGGCCAAATCAACTCTAAATATAAAGGTGATTTTTCTTCTGTTAACAATTACCTCATATCAAGGCATTATTAATGCGATAATCTCGTTAAAAAGTGTTGGACATGACGAGGAAATGATATTATTTTTTCATTAATGCAGTCAAAATTCCAAATATTAACTCTTACTTTTTCACTGAATGTCAAACAAATCCAAGGTCAAACCGAACCCACTGTGCGCCGTTGCCTTTTCAATGAAAAGTTTGATATGAAAAGTTTTCACAAATCATCAAAGTGACTTCTTATTTTGAAATAGACAAATGTATCAAGAAATTTTTTTTTAAAAATTCTTTACTATCAACTTCTTCAAGGCATTTACATTATTAACATAAATGTTGTATAAATCGCATAATCCTGCTGCTGTTTGATTAATTATTTTTAACGGAAAATGGATTTGAAATATATATTTATCTTCGTTATTATTATTTTTTTTTTTTGTTTTTTTCCTAGTCAACCAGTTATTACAAGTAAATTCGTAATTCTCATAATAATATTTCAATTCCCATCAATCGAATTTGAAGCTTCGTTTTCTACTAGACTTAATAAATAATATTTTTTTCTTATTTTCTAGCAACTCTTGGATTTTGGATTACCCAGATAGCGCTAGTTTCATCTTAACGAGTTGGGTCAGTTTTGTTTTCTACTCCCATGCTGTGTTTCAGTTCCTCTTATCAGATAGTGGACAGTGAACTCTAAGGGGTTTATCTACTGAATATTTGAGTCCCTTTACTCGCGTTCTGGAGCTAAAAGAGACTCTTTTATATTTTTAAATTACGGTCAACATTCAAGGTTTGTGCTAATCATTTAGAAATTCTCTATGATACATTATTCACTGAACTTAAAAATTAACTTGTGTATTTCGTGTTATTCATTGTTTTTATATTTACATGAACTAGAAACACACATATTGTGCTGAAGATTAAAACAATTTAACAGTTATTGGTCATCAATAAAATAAATATATTTTTAACAATTAGATTTACATTCTAGTCTTAAATTGATTGTTGTATGATGTGGAAAAATTAGTCTTAATTATTAGTTTTAATCTATTTATATGAGGTTTGAATAAGTCTTATCCAAAGGATTTGTTTAAATCAATGATATTAATTTGTTTGATTATAGGAAGCAATGATGGAAGTCTCTGGTTCTTCTGATATTATGATTATAAATGGAAATTCTCATCCTGAACTAGCTAATCTTGTGGCATGGTATCACTTTTATGATAATCCCATTCCTTGAAATAATTATTAATACTCGTTTTCTTATAAGTTACTTATCGAATTGCCTGTGGTATTGAATTGTTTTATATACTTTTAGTCGTCTTGGTGTTAAACTTGGTGGATGTACTGTAGCCCACAAAACTAACAGAGAAACTTTAGTTGAAATAGGTGATTCGGTCCGAGGAAAAGATATATACATTATTCAGACTGGAACCAAGTAGGTAGAAATAAGTACCTTCTGGTTTAATAGTTTAGAGCTAACATCTATTTTTTCATTTTATGTGAATTTTTTTTTTTCTTTTTAGGGATGTTAATAATAACATTATGGAACTTTTAATAATGGCTTATGCTTGCAAAACCTCATCTGCAAAAAATATTGTTGGCGTCATTCCATATCTACCATACAGCAAACAATGTAAGTTTTTGACATGTACTTACATAATTTGATTACAAATGTCGCTCAAACATCATCAGAAAAAACAAAGAAAGCTGCTACTTCATGGGTGTTGCTATATCATGATGGGTTGGCATAACATCTCACGTTCACAATTTAGTTGGAATTCCAGAAATAGCAAAGTGTGCCTTAAAGTAGATGAGTTTTTCTGAAAGTAAAGAAGATGCCCAATTTCTTGTTTTTCCTCTACTGAATTTCGATTTCATTTAAAGGTTTATGAGTAAGTTGAAGTTGTAAGGAACAGTGTGATCAAGACCCCAATTTTAATTGTAAAATTCCTTTGAAAGATACTTTTTTCAATAAGAAATAACTGTAAAATATTACTAAATTAATAAAAAAATATTAAGAATAATTGTAAGATGAATTCAGTCAGTTCAAACTATCTATTGTATCCATTGTTAAATCATATGTTGAACATTAAGCAATATTGGTATGTACTAATTATATAGAAATTCCTTTTCTTTACATAAAGAATTGTTAATATCAATAACAATAAAATAAAATAAATATAACATTTCATAAAGTTAATTTCTTTGGTCTTTTAACAAATCTTCTGAATATTGTTTTATAGTTTACATCATTTCAATTAGATTGCCCTTGGTTGACTGCAGAATTATCTTCAATACTGTATCAGATAAACATTCATATTCACTCCTTCCAATAATGTGCTTTCTATTGCTCCTCTTTTTCCTTCTGTATCTTTGATTTCATAGGAATGTGGTGTATCTAATCTCTGCACTAACTTCTTGGATTTATATCTTATTTTCTGCATGCTTTTAAAAAAACAAACCTTTCTGGCCTTGTAAATTATTTTGTCTTGGAGTGCTGATTGTAGTAATTTTGAATTTTTTCATTTCTACTCATAGCAACTTCTTTATCCCTACAACATAATTCAGGCTTTAAATATTTGTGAAAGGTAGGTAGGTATAGTTGTGCTCAAATTGGGATGAAACAATAAGTTGGGCGGTGACGGTGAAGGAAGGAGAGCTAAGAAATTTTGAAACAAACAAGTTTACCTGGAACATATTTGTACTACAATATCATACCCTTTTAATTTAAGCGTCACTCTTTGCATTTCCTTAAGGTCCATCTTAAACAGTGCCTTCAATGCTGAATCATCCTTCTAGATTAAGATACGAGTTTCTAAATTATATTTGCAGAACTGTGTATGACCAAACATTTCTCTTTCAATCTGGGCATAACATTTTTGATAGTTCATTAATGCCTTTGAAGCATAGCTGACTGGTTTTCCTCTTTGAAATAGGCAGCGCCTACATCTTCTGAGCTGGCTTCCTCTGAAATTATTATCTCTTTATTGGGGATAAGTATTTGCAATTGAGGAACTCGTAGCAAACTATCTTCAAATTTATTAAACATTATTACATGTAATGAAACTTATTGTATTTTTTTATCAATTACCATAATGGTGTAGTAATAGATGAATAGTTTGTAATGAGTTCTCATAAATTATTAGTTAATCCAAGAAATCTCTTTTTTATCTTTTAATCTATTTATTTCAGTGATAGCCACAATTGATAACAAATCTCAATTTAATTAATTTGAACTTAAAACTTATTAAACAAGGATTTTTTTCTAAAAGTGGGGTAACTTGATTCGAGTTGAATGACGATAAAAAAAAATGTGAGTAATCAATGATATTATGAAAAACAGAACTTAGCTTGGTTTTGCCACTTACAAATCCCATTTAAATACTTTTAATAAAGATAAACTCTACTTGCATTTGAAGTAAATTTTGTCTACTTTACTATGAAGCAATCATTGATTGTTTAAATTATATATTTTTTTTAGTTGTCACTTCTTATTCATCAAAAAACGTGACACTGAAAAAACAAAAAACTTGAATTTTCTACTTTTCTGCTAAAAATCGGACCTTTGTTTATATAAACTTTTTTGTAGTTCTTGAGGTAGCTCTATCATCCCTTGAAATATGTCCCTTTGCATATAGGACTCCCTTTATGACCAACCCAGTTCAAATAGAACATTGAACAATCTACAACAGCAAACAAGTGTTTTGAAGCTATTCAAGGTCAGTTGATCTGAATACTGCGCTATGATTGACTCCACCGAGTCTTAAACTAAGCGCATGTGGAGTTAGGAGTTTTTGTTATGAAGTCGCATATTTTATTTTATTTTTCACATGTTTGTAATAGTTTTTTTAAAAAGAAATTATTGTATAAAGAATGAAACAAGCTAACAAAAACAATGTCTAACTCATTTTATGATAAAATTGGACTCGATCGTGTTTGTAACTAGGCTACTCATATTTACTTTCATAGTATTAAACAAAAAAATATTTCGTTAAAAAAAAATGTCTATTGAAATTGGGAAATTTTATTCACCCAGGGGGATTGTACTTGCATATCTATTTAAACATCTTGGTAGATTGATAGGGAAATTGATATCTACGAGTATTTAAATTTGGTGTTGTAGTTGGTTGCCTTTCACCACACATTACAGCTTCAGGCAAATAGATTTCGTCTCATATATCAGTGCATGCCAACATCTCAAAGGGTCTTGAGTTACATTCAGGGTTTGTTAAGCACCCGACTACTTCACCTAAGTTTAAATATTCATAAATGTCAATTTCCATATAAATCTACCAAGATGTTTACATTAATAGATTGGAATACATTAAAAGATATGGAAGTACATTCCCTAAGGATGGATAGGATTTCCTTTTTTAGGAATGGATAGGAGTTTCTTTTTTTACTTCAAATATTTATTTATTTTAACATTTTTTATTTTTAAAATATTAACAATTTATTTATTTTCATGACATGGTAACATTTCGAATCAATTTATAATCGAGATACTCAAACTATAATACATGTTTGCTTTCACCTACCCTTACTATATATTTCATATATAGGTAAGTAATGCGATCGTGAAAATTTTTGAATCTGAGTTTTCAACGGAAATACACGTTTTGAGGTGCCTGAGTCCAAATCACCAAGTCCAGAAAAATGGTCTGTGTGTCTGTGTGTATGTGAAAATTCTAGCTCGAAAACGAAAAGTCGTATGAAACTGATATTACGTATTTAAGATAGGTATATGCCTTAGATATCGCTGCAACCTTTTCTTTAAAATCGGCTAACCAGAAGTGCCACTTTATATCAACGCTGAAACACATTTTTACAATTTTCTCAAAAACGTCTCTAATGATTTTCATTAAACTCGGTTTATCTTAATTAAGTGGTCTTTAATATCAATTAGGTCTTATCTCCATTAATGTCACTTTACCGGGCTTAAATGTCCTATGTTCATATACTCCTTTCTCTAAAGTACTTTTAGCAAAAACAATATCTAATACAGAAAGTTGTTGAAGGTAACGGAGAGTGGCGAAAAAATTATAAATAATAATTTTTGAAAACTAATATTATTTAACGTAAATCACATGTTTTCAAAGAAATTAAATGTAAACTTTTAAAATACGTTTAAATTTGAAAAAGTATTTAAAATCTACCTAAACAAGGCAATACCATTGTTAAAAAACCTATTTCATTTTATTTGTGTGAAAGAAGTGAAATATCAAATCATTTCATGGGTGTATAAATCATATGTTTATAAACTTAAATACATTTACTGTAGTTTAATAATTCTAAATCTGATATTATGTTTAAGTAATTAGGTATCAACGTCCGTTTATTCTGAAAAATCGTCATGTAGCTTTAAAAAAAATTAAATTAGTGAATAATTTGATGAATTTTCCCTTTATGAAATCCCAAAATTGCCGTGTCTTTCTCTAAAGTACCTTTAATTTGGTTTGTTATAAGTAATAACAATTTCTCATTGTTAGAAGTTATGAAAAAATGCTAAATATAACTTTTGAAAGAATTTTATAATTGAATATAGAAGAAAAATAAATAAATACATATCTAGGCCGGAAATAATTTTCAGAAGGTATACGTATATCGTTGGAAAGCGGAGATTGAAAAAAACAAAACAATATCTAATAAAGAATATTGTACAAGGTAAAGGAGAGCGATGAAAAAAATATATAAAAAATAATTTCTGAAAACTAGCATTTTTTAACGTAAATGACATGTTTCCAAGGAAATTAAATGAAATTTCCTTACTAAATGTAAACTTAGAATTTTTTTTTTAGTTTGAGAAAAGTATTTAAAATTCACTGAATCAAGGCAATGGCATTGTTTAAAATAATAACTCATTGTGCTTGTGTGAAAGAAGAAGTGAAATATAAAAATATTTTATGGATATGTTTATTACCTTAAACATATTTACTGTATTTTGTTAGGGTTCTCAAATAACTCTAGATCTGATATCATATTTAAATAATTAAGTATCTGTACATATTTAAATAATTAAGCATCTGTGGTCTGTTTATTCTGAAAAATCATCAAGTAACCTTTTAGAAAATTAAATTTGAATAATTTGATGAATTTTCCCTTTGTGATATTCCAACAGTATTCACTTCCAATTAGTGTGACAAGTTTTGACCTGTCTATGACAGACAATGTAAATCTCTTAATTCAATTTTAACAAACTTTTCAATGGAAAATAACTGTTTAATAACTAATAGTCGTACAATCCATAATCAACAGATCGTACAACCCGTAATCAACCGGTGATATAATAAATAGGACTTTTATTATTTTAATGGTATTTATTATTTGTTAGCTGTAAGCTTTTTGGTTTTGCTCAGTTAAAACTACAATTAAAAAATTTATAATAGCTCAACGCGTCAAGAAAATAATTTCTGTTCAAAGTTGAGCGGTAAGTGAAATTTATAACAAGGATATAACAAATCACTAATCATAGCGGCGGTTTACCTGCCATATGAACATCCAGAGCCTGAAGAAGGAATGGATGAACTATTAAAGAGTAAGGAGGAAATTGTTGCAGCCCTGGATGCTAATGCACACAACGAGATCTGGGGAAGCACAAACACCAACTCTAGAGGTGAGAAACTCTTAGAGACTATTATTAAATATGATCTTGATATTCTGAACAGGGGGAATAAGCCTACCTTTTGTAACAGAATTAGGACTGAGATCATAGACATAACACTAGCGACTCAATTGACTAGTGACCTTATAGATAACTGGCATGTCTCTGATGAAGAAACATGCTCGGATCACAGATATATCAGATTTGATATATCTGATAGAATACAACATGATGTGGAATATAGAGACCCTAAGCGAACAAACTGGGTGTCCTATAGTTCTAACTTGGAGGAGGCTGTCAAATGCTGCCCCAAAGTTATCCACAATACATGGCAATTAGAAATATTAAATACTTCAATTACTGATGCTATGACTAGAGCATATTTGGCCAGTAATGAAGCTAAAAAAACTACAACCAACAGGAAAGTGTCCTGGTGGAATGATAGTCTAACAAAGCAAAGAGCACTCATGAGGAGATTGTTTAATGCTTCTAAAAAATCTGGCAATTGGGATACATACAGGAAATCTCTTACTGAGTATCACAAATCTGTCAGGAAAGCCAAAAGACAAGCCTGGAAAAGGTTTTGTCTGGAGGTGGACAACATGCCGGCGGTATGTAAGGTAAACAAAATACTGTCAAAACAAACCAATTCAGGTATAATGGGAACACTCAAATATGACGATAAGCACACCACGAATGAGATAGAAACATTGAGTGTGGTAGCAAAAGCTCATTTCCCAAATTGTTTTACGACAGTAAATGAACTTCTTGACCCCAATACACAGGATCGTGGTACTGGCGCACGTATGTGGGGTCAGGCAAGAAGAGTGATAACAAACAGTAGACTTGAATGGGCAGTGAATTCGTTCTTTCCTTTCAAGTCTGCTGGAATGGATGAGATCTTTCCAGCACTGCTGCAGAAGGGTCTCCCAGAAATAAGGCCATACCTTCTGGAACTTCTAAGAGGTAGCCTAGCACTGGGATATCTACCATGTAAGTGGAGGATATCCAAAGTGCGATACATTCCTAAACCAGGAAAGGAATCTTATGAAGACCCCAAGGCATTTAGGCCAATATGTCTGTCATCTTTCTTAATGAAGACATTGGAAAAGATACTGGACAGACATATTAGGGAACACATATTGGCTACTAGTCCAATACATTCAAAGCAATATGCCTACCAACCAGGAAAATCCTGTGAGGTGGCGCTTCACAACTTGGTAACAAGAATTGAGAAATCCTTAGAACAGAGTGAAATCATGATAGGCGTCTTCGTTGATATCGAGGGTGCCTTTGATAGAACTCCCTATAACATCATAAATGATGCGCTAAGGAAAAAAGATATAGACGCTATGACCTCCAGATGGATTGGGAGAATGCTGGAGGACAGAGTTCTAAAATCAGAAATAGGGCACAAGGAACTGTGGATTAAACCCTGTGGGGGATGTCCTCAGGGAGGTGTGCTCTCTCCATTACTGTGGTGTTTTGTGGCTGACTCATTATTGGAAGCCTTAAACACTGCAGGCATTTATGCTCAGGGATATGCTGACGATATTGCCATCCTCATAGGAGGGAGGCATCAGAGTGTCCTCTCTGATATCCTCAGTACAGTGTTCAATATTCTTAGGAATTGGTGCAGGATTAAAGGACTAAGCATCAACCCTAGGAAAATCAATGTGTGTATCTTCACCAAGAAGAAGAAGGTGGCTATTAAAATGCCGGAAATCAATGGTATCCAAGTGACACTGAGTAAGGAAGTAAAACACCTTGGAGTCACTTTGGACCATAAACTGACATGGACTAAACACGTTCAAAACGTGACAAGTAAAGCCCTCAAATGCCTATGGGCCTGTAAAAGAGCGATAGGAAAGAATTGGGGGCTAAAACCAAAAATGGTATACTGGCTGTACACAACAACAGTCAGACCTATCATACTTTACTCAGCTTTGCTATGGTGGCACAAAGCAAAGACTGTAGCCAATGTATCCTTATTAGGAAAGATCCAAAGGCTTGCTTGTATAATGATAACAGGCGCAATGAGCACGACACCGACGGCTGCTATGGAGGTGATGCTTGGCATGCCCCCGCTGCAGCTGGAGGTGGAGGCTCGGGCAACAATTACACTGTACAGGATAAGCAAGTCAACTCACTGTTCAACAGTCCCCTGTCAGGGAGGACACACAACACTGCTGAACAGGATTGGAAGTGAAAGAGTGCTAGCTATGCACTCTGACACTCTAATCCGAGAACATCAGGACCGGAAATATAAGGTTGAGATAGATAGCAGCAGAATTCATAAACCAAATAGTGGAATAAATTGCTACACAGATGGCTCTCTAACAGCCTTCGGCTCTGGAGCAGGCATCTATCGCAAAGATATAAAAGAAAAAATTTCTATACCACTTGGCAGGTATGCTTCAGTGTTTCAATCCGAGATACTGGCAATCTGCCACTGTGTACAAAACCTACTGCAAACCAATGTGACTGAGAAAAGGATCACCATCTTTACTGACAGTCAGGCAGCAATAGGTGCTCTTGACAATTATTATGCTTATTCAAAGGTCGTTAAGGAATGCAATAGAGCACTTAACGAGCTAACTGAGCACAACAGAGTTGCAGTGGAGTGGGTGCCAGGCCATTCTGGCATACCGGGCAACGAGATGGCTGATGAGCAAGCCAGGTTGGGCTCAGATACTATTCCTATAACTCCCGAGCCTGTCTGTGGAATCAGCCTTAGTACTGCCAAGGGCAGGATCAGGGAGATCTATGGGAACAAATTTAGGAATTACTGGACCGACAAGAAACAGAGACACTCGAAGCTGTTCCTTAAAGGCCCATGTAAAAAAAGAAGTGAACAGCTACTGAACATGGACAGAGCAGCTCTTAAAAAACTCACAGCGATCTACACAGGTCACTGTAAGTTAAATAATCATATGTTCAATCTCCGAGTAATGACGAATCCGATATGCAGATTCTGTCAGGAGGAGAATGAAACAGCTTTTCACATCATATGCAGATGTGACAAGTTTATAAGGCTGAGACTGGCGTTATTTGGGGAGGAACAGATGGATCTCCCCAGTAGATTTGAGTCGGTTAACCCAACCAGCCTACTGAGATACGCGGAAGCGACAGGACTAACGTTTTGAATAAGACGACCTAGCGAATATTGGCGCACAATGGACCCAAAGGGGTCGACGTGCTTAAAGCCAAAAAAAAAAAAAAGAAAAAAAAAAAAAAAAAGTGAAATTTATGTGTTGCACGGACCAGATTTTTTTTTATTATTATTTTGTGCTCAAATTGTTTCAAAACATTCATGGTATTTCACTGAGTAATTACAGCTGTCAAAGTTAAAATTTGATTATGCCACACTTTACACAATAATTTGCCAGAATTTTGAGCTTAAATTCTTTCAAAACATTCATGGGATATCCCTGAATAATTTAAGATTTTAAACTTAAAAATCACTCTAGCCGCTAGGTCAAAAAATTGTTACATGCTTTGTAGAAAATTGATACAATCATATTCATTCAAGTGTCAGTATTTTTAGCTCATATTGTCGCTTAAAAAAGCGTTACAAAGCCTTTTTCAGATTGATTAAAAACATTTTATTCAATAACAGGTCATTATTTTTAGCTCAGATTGTTTCAAAGTACTCAGTGGATCTCACTGTATAATTTGAGCCATCAAATTAAAAATTGATGCAGCTGTTTGCTTAAAAAAGTGTTAAATATCTTTTAGCGACACATAGACTCAAACACATAACCCTCATGACGCTTCGTTTAGTCCGGTAAAAATACTTAAAATTTAAATCTAAAATTGCTGGATTGATTGAAATTTATTTTTTTTCTGGGAACAAGTGTTGTTTTTTAATTATTTTTGTTACTGATTGATACATTAAATTTTTTTTTAAAACTATAATGTGAAATGTTTATTTTTGAATTACCGTTGTAGGTAAAATGAGAAAGAGGGGCTGTATTGTCTCAAAGCTTTTAGCTAAGATGATGTGTAATTCAGGGTTAACGCATGTAATTACAATGGATCTTCATCAAAAGGAAATTCAAGGATTTTTTGATTGTCCAGTTGATAATCTCCGTGCTTCTCCATTTTTACTGCAGTACATTCAAGTAAAGTATTTCATTTAATTCATTGAACATTTTTAAACTTAGTTATTTATTTTGTTTTGTTTTTATCATTTTAATTTTATATAGTGGTCTTAAATTTAATGTTAAAAACCTGTGTTTATATTCATGATCACGAATATATAAATCTTGTGTAAAAAAATATAACTGGAAAAATAACTATTATATTATTTTGATGTTAAAGCTACTTGGCCATATTACATTTCATGAAGGCATTAGCAGAGTTAGTGTGATCAAAGGAGAGATTAATTTAAAAATTGTTAGCAAAATGATATTCAGAAATTGGACAGAAAACGGGAGATCAGTTCTGAAGATAAAAAATGGTAATAAGGAGGAAACTTGAAGTATGCCTCTGGACAAAGATAAGGGTAACCAGAACGGGTTTTATTGAAGGCCATAACGTACAGAAAATGACCAGTGAGGAGTAATCAGAACCACTAAAGGCCACCAGGTGACAAGGGACACCAAGCATGAAGATCGGAAAGGAGGATATTGTGCTGAACGGAATCAAAGGATTTGGAAAAGTTAAAGAGGATAGATAAGGGTGCTAAATTTCTGCTAGTTCTTGGCTGTGTCTTGAGAAATATTTATGAGAGCAGACTGAGTGGAATAGCTGGACTGCTATTGGTTCAAAATGTTATTCGGTTCTAAAGTGTTTGGATATTTATTAATTCTTTCCCTAAATTAAATCCTCGATGAATTTTCTCTGTTTGAAGCCATAACATTGTGCATTTACAATTAGTTAAACTATATTAGAAATATAAAAGGGTGTGTGCAATTTTGATGTACTTCCTATATTTTTTATCAATAAATCATGTTGAAATTCAGAAAAATATACTTTCATCAAAAAAGTACTAATATGACTTTTTGCGAAACTCTGTGATACATATATATGTATCATATACTAATTGGTCTTGGCAAATAATTTGCAGAATCCATTGTTTAGTGAAGAAACAGCAAAATAATATGCAAATAAGTAGATCTTATGTACTATGTGAAGAAGGAATTACTTATGTTTTGCGAATACAATATTTCATAATTTAACACAATTGACCAAAATATTTGTAAAAATTACTTTTCAAGGGCCTATTTCTAAATGCTGAATATTACCAAACATATTCAAAGTAAGACCTCAATAATAGGATTTTTTGTATTATTAAAAAATCTAAAATGTGCCAACAAATAATGCCTTCAAGAAATAATGCACTATTTATAAGCCAGGAAAAATGGTAGTAGAATTGTAAAAGCAGTACCTTCGAAGAGGAAGAAAGTTTTATGTATATCAAATTTAATGGACTATATTTTTGGTAATAATGGTCTGATTTTTATGATTTTTTTTTGTTTTGTAGAGAATTTGGTAATCTGTCTATTAATTATGGATACATTCAAGAAAAAAATACATAATTTTTGAGTAATTCGCAAATAAAGTTTCTTTTCCTTCATAACTTTTTTTTCCTGAAATTTCTGGAGGAGGTGACTATTGTTCCGATATGAAGGAGAAAAGATCTTCAAAATGAGAGCTCAATCGTCAGATTTGATGAAGACCTGAGGAAGTTATGGTGTTGCGACAACAAAACATCTTTAAGAAATAATATATAAAGATAGAAGGGCTGTGCTGAAATAGTCTTCATTGCAACTTCACTTCTCATTATAATTTTTTTCTCTGACATTAACTGAAACATTGATCACTCCTTAGAATTTTATTCTAATTCAATGTTTCTGTAATCGTTGGAAAGCTGAGTTATTGCTCTTCAATACTATATAAATAACTTTTTGATTTAACACCTATAAGGAATAAATAAATAAAACTAATAGGTTTTTACTTTATAACTTCAGTTCTAAAATATTTAGGGGGTTACGGTTTGTGTCATTTTGTGTAGTTTATAAGAGACCTAAATCCCTGCTTAATTTTCTTGTGGATAGGTAGAAGCTATTTTTTTTTTCTTCTTTTGGCATTACAGACCATGTAGATCTTTTCCCGCCTTAACAAGTCCGCTCCATCTCTGCCAGCCTTGAACAATTTTAGCCAGTTATCTGCACACAGCTCTATTGCATCTTTGTCGATTCTATCTATCTATCTGCTTTTTGGCCTTCCATGTGGTCTTTTGCTTTTATTGAGGCATTCATTGTTATGTAGAGGCTTCCGGATGGATTGCTACAAGCTACATTTTTTTTTTTTTTTCCTCTGTTCTTCCCTACCTCGCCTTTTAGACTATACGGAATTTTCCCGGGCCGGAGGGTGAGGGCACGGAATTTAAAATCCCCTCCGGCACCGGGACACGAACTCATACTTTTTAATGTTTTCACAAATCTGTTATCCGGTTGCCAGGCAACTCGTGGTGCTGTGCACACGCTTTAGCCCATTCAGCCACCCCGTCCCCTCAAACTGCTACGAGCTACATGCCCCACCCTTCTTATAACCTCTGTGCCCTTAGATTGACCAGTTTCTGTTAGCAGTTCTTTATTGGTCTTTCTTCCTCACTCTGATCCCAGATCCCTCCGGTAACGCATGGAGAATTTTTCTCTCAAATCTTTCAATACTTTTTTCTTTGGTGGTTAGGTTGTTAGTGTCTTGGTCTCACAGTCATATATTAGAACTGGTTTTATCATAGCATTGTACACCCTTAATTTGAGATTTTTTGGGATTTCAATACCTTTGAAAGGGAGAAGAAAGCTCTGTTTGCGCTTGTTATAAGCTGGTCTATTTCTGACCGTTGCTCATTTATTGAGGTTATTCTGGAGCCGAGGTAATTGAATTTTTCTACTCTAGAGAATGATTTTCCTTCTACACAGATCCTGTTATTGGAGGTGAAATTTTCGGCTTATCCTCAATTCTCTACAAAATGAAGAAAAAAAATAGTGAAATTGAACCATTATTTACAAAGATACAGCCTATTGTTATTTATGTATTATTGCTTCTAATATTGATTTAAAAAAAGTGTTATAAAATATTAATTAACCTTTTTACACGTATGGTTTTTGAAACCTACTTTCATAATTTCTAATATTAATGTATTAAAGAATAACTCTTGACTATTTTTAAGATTAAGTAATTGCCTTTTATAGCCTTTTTCAGTTACCATTTGTGCATAACCTTATGCCTGCGATAGAAAATCTTGATGACAATGTTGTCGTGGATTCTGATTCATATAAAAATTATAATTTCCAGCCCTCTGCAGTTTTCAAATTGAGTGCACCTCCAGTTAAAAAGAATTAAAGAGATCAGCCTAGCAAAATTACGAATCGTACACTCAAGGCAAACACATGAACAATTATTGACAAAGAGGACATCCTCTGAGTTTCTTTCCTGCGTGGTAAATATCACAGTGATGCACACCTGTACTGAGCATTGTGCCTCTATAAAGAACATCGAAATGAAGTGGAGTTGGAAAATATATTGCTGAAATTTTGAAAAAGAACACGAAGATGGCCAAAAATTGTTTTTATTTATTAAAAAAACATAACTATATAAATTCCTTTTTTTTTGTAAATGCTAATGCTTTCTACCTTCAAGTTTACTGTTATTTTTTATATTGTGTAATATAAATATTGTGTAAGAGCTAAAATGACCTATAAGTGGTTGGAAAGTCCCCATCGTTAGAAATAAATATAATATATACTATATTTTATTTCTCACTGATGTTTTATTTCGGCATATCTTCGTTAGTTTCAATTATTGGACCATCATTTTAAAGATTGTCTAAACACAATCTCCAATATCTCAGAAAAAAAATGTTAAAAATAAAAACAAACCTAATATGGCCATAACAGGAAAAGTATGTAAGTTACGGTGGATTAAATTCCTGAATAATTAAAAGGTTACAAAATTCCTTCTAAAAGAAAAATATTTATATCGAAATTGGACCATTATGAGCAAAGATATAGGACTTCAGTAAACTGTACAGAAGTTTTGGTTTATTTTTATGAATTAATTCAAACCAAAAATTCAAATTAATCAACCAAGAAAAGGAAAATGTATTCCTCTACTTGATAATAGATTTCAGTAACATGTTTTCATACTATTTTATCAGTTGTTCTCTGACCAATATTTTATGCGAATTATTTTCACGGGCCCGCTAGTTAATATTAATTACTTTAATTCATGTTAATAAAAATTGATTTTTTAAAAGAAAATGTGCATTTTTATCATTTTTTATGATCTCTAAAACAAAATTTACAATCTTTTAGAATATTATACAGACTATCAGGGAGTGATATGAACAGAAGGATTCAGACAGGCAATATACTTGGGGTTTATTGATAGGTCTGCAAAGGGTTAACTGGGAGCCTTTAGATTTTAGCCTACAGAGATTCGAAACAAAAATCCATTAAAGGCCCGCTTACTGCACAGACTAATTTTCTCTAGCTATCACAGTCTCATTAAAAGATAATGATTTGCCCAACAGAAACAAAAAGTAAAATGATTTAAAGCTTATGACTGATTTGCTTTTCAGGAGAGTATACCAGATTATCGTAATGCAGTAATTGTTGCCCGTAATCCTGGATCAGCTAACAAAGCCACATCATATGCAGAAAGATTAAGGTTGGGTTTTGCTGTTATTCATGGAGAACAAAAAGAAGCGGAATCTGATATGGTTGATGGAAGGTTGATATTTTTCTATATCATGTTTCCGTTTAATTGATTTATAGTTTGAATTATTTCTCTTTGTTTTGAAGATATTCACCACCACCACCTTCAATAGCATCTAGGATAATGGGGGTTGGTGTTGGTGTTCCTCAACACCCTGCAAAAGAAAAACCCCCTATTAATATTGTTGGTGATGTTAGTGGCAGAATAGCAATAATGGTAGTAAGTATTTGGCTTTTCGTATTCATGTTAATCCTTATCTTAACTTGAATATTATGATTAACTACTAATACTTTTTTTATTTAATGTTGTAGTATCAGTTTTTTTTATCTCTAGTTGCTTGGCTCATTTTTTGTTCATGAGCATGTCTGTTTTTGATGCTTGCAATTAATTTATTTAAACTTAAATTTCTATTAAAAAAAAAGATGATAAGTTCATTTTATGAAAACAAAGTTCTATAATATTTCTTTTCTGAAAATTTTTCTTTTCTTTTCACTCTTTTCTTCTATTTTATTTCTCCTTTTCTAATTTGTTTTGAGGGTTTCCAATTCTGCTGGCTATATTTCCATAACCACCTCACATAATGTTTAAGTGATAACACTTAAATGTTTTGCTCATTTGTTCTTTTTCCACTGGTGGTCTTTTATCGTACATTTGTTTTTTCTATTAGGAAATGTACGAGAATAACCAAGAAATAAATGGGAATTTTGTTGGAGAGAAACACTAAATACCATCTAAAACCCTATTCACATACATTTCCCTATTTCCAGGTTTTTCCTATAGATAGACTACTTGATATAAAAAACTCGGAATTACAGAAAAACCATAAAAGGTATGAGAATATTTGTGAACACCAAGATCTAAATATAAAATTACTCTTATGGACTTGATATGAAGATATGAATGTAAACCAACAAAATGTCATAATGTTTTTGTAGATATAAAAAGCCACTTTTTGAAGAAAGTTGACTGCTGAAAAAAATTATTGTTTCACCCTATTGCACAACCATTATCCTCAGAAATGGTACTTCCTTACTGAGTACTGAATTCTGAGCCTTTCATGGTGCACCTTTTTTACTTTCACTTACCTATATATCTAATATAGTAAGGAAAAGTATTGCAATCGTAAACATTTTTTGAATCTGAGTTTTGAGTCCCCTGAGTCCAAATAACCAAGTCTCACAAAATGGTGTCTGTATGTGCATATGCGTGCTTGTGCGCGTAACAGTCTAGCTCAAAAAAAAAAAAATGTACGAACCTGGAAATAAATATCTAAGTTAAGTATATGCCTGGGATATTACATCAAACTTTTCCTTAAAATCAGCTAACCAGAAGTGCCACTTTATTGTATCGATTTTACACATTTTAACAATTTTCTCGAAAATGGCTCTAAAGATTTTGATTAAACTCGATGTATCAATGTATAATTAAGTAGTCTTTAATATCATTTAGGTCTTATCCCTACTGATGTCACTTAACAGGGCTTAAATGCCCAATGTTCAATATTTCTTTCTCCTAAGTACTTTTAATTTGGTTTATAACTTAGTAACTCTAATTGATAGAACTAATCAAAAACAGGCTAAATATAAATTTTGAAAGAATTTAATAATTGAATAAAAGAGAAAAAATGAAAAATGCTTATTTAGCTCAGAAATGAATATAATATAATACATATAGTATATTGTTGGAAAGCAGAGAATTTCAGATAAAACAATATCTAATATAGAAAGTGATAGAAGGTGACGAAACCAATATAAATAATTTATGAAGACTAATATTATTTAATGGAAATCATTTGTTTCCAAGAAAATTAAATAAATTTCCTAACTAAATGTTAAATTTTAAAATTATTTTTTAGTTTGAAAAAAATCTATTTATAATCAACCAAATCAAAGCCATGACATTGTTTAAAAAGCTATTTCATTATTCTTGTGTGAAAAAAGAAGTTAAATAGAAATATATTTCATAGATGTGCAAAACATTTATTTTTAACCTTAAATACATTTGTTGTTGTTTAATAACTCTAGATTCGATATTATATTTAAATAATTAAGTATCTAATGTCTGTTGACTCCAGAAAATCATCATGTAACTTTTAGAAAATTAAATTAGTGAATATTTTTATAAGTTTTCCCTTTACAAAATCCCTTCATTATTCACATACAATTAGTGTGACCTATCTATGACAGGCAATGAAACTCCATTTTAGTAAACTTTGCAATGGGAAATAAGAGTTTAATAACTAACAGTCGTACAATCCATAATCAATTATAGGTTAAATATATATCGATGTACATATAAATCTCCCTAGGCACAGCTTAGAGACTGGAGCTATGTATGTGGTTTACAAAGACAGATGGAGTTACAAGGTTTTTATTGCCTACTGTCGATATAATAAATACTGTTTTTGTTTTTTTAAAGGTTTTAATGATTTGTTAGCTGTATACTTTAAGGTTAAGCTCCATTAAAAATGCACTTCAACAATTTTATAATAGTCCAACATTGCCAAAAAAGAATTTCTATTCAAAGTAGAGTGGCAAGTGAAAGTTGTGTGATGCATGCACCAGATTTTTTTTTTTTTACTGGCGGACTTGAACGTAGGATTGAAAGCATATGAGCACGGTGTTACTCACTGGGCTACTTAGCTTCTCAGTTATATCATGACAAGCCACAATTTATTCCTTATTGAATTCACCAGATATGTAAATGAAAATCATGGTTCAAAGGCTAATAAACTTTATTTTCATACCAATCATTGTTAAATGAAATATTTGAATAAATTAATAATCTCCTAATACCTGCTGTACACCACATTTTATTTTTATCACAATTATTGTTAAACAAATGAAGTATTTAAACAAAGTGATTTTCTTTGAATACTTACTATCTGCTACCTCTGGAAGTGGCTTATATTCATCAAAAATTTTTGAAATGTCTTTAAGAGTAGTAATGTGATTTGTTGCATAGTACATCTATATGTTGGTAGTTACTCAAACATATATGGTATACAGCTATATTAATGTACAAAGTAGTATTTTGCAGAAATAACTCATTTTCTTCCAAATTGTTACTTGTTGCATTTTTATCCCAAGCTTTTCATTCATTCATATATATATATATATATATATATATATATATATATATATATATATATATATATATATATATTGAATATCCTGCATTTATTTTTTATTTGCATATCCTACATTTTTTTTCTCAATAACCAATTATTTTTGATTTTTTTTTATAGGATGATATGATAGATGATGTTCAAGCATTTGTGACAGCTTCAGAAGTTTTAAAAGAAAGAGGAGCTTATAAAATTTATGTTATGGCTACTCATGGTCTTCTGTCTTCCGATGCTCCAAGGCTAATAGAAGATTCTCCTATTGATGAGGTAATTACGTTTATTAGTGCTTGTGTTATAAATTATTGTAGATAGAGCATCGTACTGGTTTATTGTTATCATTTAAAAATTATATTTTACAGTTTTAAAAAAATACCAATTATTGTTTTTTGTTGGCCATAATAATTTTTGATGAAGGAAAAATATATATTCATAAAATGGCAACATTAAGATAAGAATTCATGAGATATCTTTGGGCTGTATGACATATAAACAGGATTTAAACTAAGGCAGGATTTCATAAAGATGAGAGAAAGTAAGCTACTACTGACTACTACTAGAAAGTAACCGATTAGCAGGGGAGATCTAATTAGCAGGTAGTCCTCGTTTTCAGAGCCTACTCAACAAGGAGGAAAAAAATGGGTAGTAAAAGCATGGCTCTGCAGGACTGGAACGGTCTAAAAACAACAATGGAGATAACATGGAAGCATCACTTGAGAAGAAAGTTATGGAAGTATTCCTCAGTATGAGTATAAAATCTTCTGGGGTTGACTGTATAATAGTAGAGCTATTAAAGTATAGCAGGGATGCTGTACTCAGTGAGTTGTATGAAATAAGTTTCGATATATGGATGAGTGATAGGATGTCATCAGAATGGTCTCCTCACCTACTACAAAGTTGATAGACTGCAGTGTGACAATTACAGAGAAATAAAGCATAGCAGTATGGCCTACAATAGTTCTGTTTTTTTATTAACAGAAAATTAAATGTGCACATGGAGAGAATTTTCATTGAATACCAAAGTGAATTGAAGCAAAACAGATAGACGAACGATTGCATTTTTGATGTTATACTGCACCACCTTTTCATAGATTTCTGGCAAGCCTATGACTGTGTCGATAGAGTACATTTACTGCATGATGTACAGAGATTTGGTGTCCCTTAGAAGATAGTTTATTAATTAGTTATTAATCGTATGCCCATAAACGATTGGTCTAAGCATTTGGACAGAGGTTTCCTATTAATACACTTAACAGGATAATTGTTAAACACTGGCTTAGATAAGGAGATTCTGAGGCAGCAACTCTTTATTTATCTATGGAGGGTACAGTGGGAGGAATTAGGACTAATCCTGATACGATAGTCTATAATGTATGAGGCAAATTCTAAAACTAAGGTACGGTGTCCAATATTTAACTGATGATAGGCTTGAATGAAGTTTCATGTTTCTATCTGCGAACGCTTTAGGAAGCTACTGCAGTATTGGTTTGATTTAGTAGTGGTTTGCTAGTTAGTGAAAGCAGATAGCGATGGCCGAGACAAACGTAGAAGTGCATGGTGCGATTAGATTTTTGTTGGCAATAGGGTCTTCAGCTGCTGAAATCTATCGTGAGTTATGTCTAGTGTATGAACCTGAAATATTGAGTGACAAGATTAGAAGGTTTATTATTGAAAATATTAAATTAAAAACATGTTGATAACTCTACATCTTTAACAGTAATGCTCCGATATCGATTTTTTTTTCTTTTTTAGGAAATGTAATTAAAACTATAGTTTGAGTTATTCACATAAAACCTTGCATTCCTGGTCACTCTTTTTCCAGCTTCTTTTAGAGGAAGTATGCTATTTATTTAAATTTAAAGAGCTTTAAGCAGAAGATCTGAAGCAATTGTCATCAAAATTGGTACAGCCATTTTGTGGCAATTGTCCTTAGAAACGGACGTTTTTCAGCCACCATTTTGAAATGGTTGTCGATTTCCTAGAATCATCCTAGGGCAACCCTTACATTTCTTGTCAAATCTTCAAAAAATTGGTACAGTGGTCTCAGAGATAGGCCTTGGGAAAATTTTTAGATTTCAATTTATGGATAATATGTATTTTGAGAGACCAAATCACCTCCTTGCACAACTGTAGACCCAGAAACAGTACTTTCCCTAAATAGTACTGACCCTTCATGGGTTGTAGTGGTACAGGTTTATTTTATTTATATATTTTGAGAGGTAATGCCTCAAATTTTTAGACTTTCTGTGTTAGATATTGTTTTTTTTCTAAAATTCTCTAAAATATGTATACCTTCTGACTAGTATTTCCGGAAATTCATTTTTGACCTAAATAAACACATTCCATTTTTTCTCTATTTTTCAATTATCAAATTCTTTCAAAAGTTATATTTACCTTTTTAAACTCTTAATAATGAGAGGTAGTTAATTATTTAAAATAAACCAAATTAAATGTACTTCAGAGGAAGGCATGTTGAGCATAGAAGAAATGACATCCACAGTCGTCCTGTATATTTACAATATTAAATATATGGAAATATGTTAATGATAATTTGTAATGTTTTGATTTCATTAGATAATCTTTAAAACTATCTCATATTTCTTACAAAACATTTGACTTGTATAGCAATATTTCACAAAATAGGTTCATAACAATAAATCAAAAATATAGCTATTCATCCAATGGAATTCAGTATTTAACAGTTTTAATAAATTATGCTTGTGCTACCATAGATGAGAGCATATATAAGTTAGATTTGTAGCATACTTAGTTAGCTCAAAGCTGTAATTGAAAATTAACAGTCCTAGACTAACATTTATTAGTCTACCCTAAGGTACCTTCACATAAAATCTGTTACTTTTATCTTCATAACATGTTAATTCCATTAAACCCTTAAAAATGTAATTATTAGATTTTTAGTAATAATTATAATATCTCTACTATTAAAAAATAATTATTACATTAATTCATAGTTGATTTTATGTTGTAAGATATACTTATATTTTATTTATTAATTGTTATATTTTTAGGTGGTTGTTACTAATTCAATACCTCATGAGCTGCAGAAACTCCAATGTCATAAGATCAAAACTGTTGATATCAGTGTTCTTCTATCCGAGGCTATCAGACGTATTCATAATAAGGAATCTATGTCCTATCTTTTTAAAAATGTTACTTTAGAAGATTGAATATGTTGACTATCTATAGTTGTGTTAAAGTGTATTTATCCTTTCTCATAGGTTATTAAAATTGTTTTGTTGTTATATGGCAGTTGTTATGTTTATAAAATTAATTCAAAGTTCTGTTTTAAGCCTCAGTTTTCACAATTGGAAATCTTAAAATTTAATTGTAACATACTGAAGACTGAGCATCTTTTTCAATGTTTAGGATAACAGAAGTTTGAGAAAATTAAAATACCCTTAATTTTTTCTTTGTTTTATTGTTCACTATGTTTTGATAAATTAGTCTTTTATTTGTTTTTTTGCTTTATTGACCAATATACTTGGAAAGAATTTTTAAATCAATGGAAACTGATTTATCTATTGTTTTATTTTTCATGAGACAGACAAATTTATTTTTCCACATAACTCTACTATATTTATGATAATAAAAATTATTAATCAATTATAAATTATTAAACATTGTTGTTATCTGTGAATCAATAATTGATTTTTCTTTCTGTTGATTAAACTAAAATCACTTATTAATTCTAATTGTTATACTAGAAACTTTCTATGTTAGTAGTCAACATTTCAAAGGCTATTTGTGCTACTAATATTTGAACTTATCTTTTTTTGTCACCAAAGATAAATAAAACTGGTTTTGATTATTACTTAGTTCTTTTTTTATCATTGTTTTCTTATTATTATTTATTTGAAACCTGTTTGCCTGCTTTCTAATTACTATTTATTTAAAACCTCTTTGCCCGTTAGACAATACAGATGTTTGCAACAGTGTAGAGCTATGCGTGCATGTGTTACAACCCAACTTCTTTTTCTTGATAGGCGCTACACTACACAACAAGGCTACTTATAACAACTTCCATCAGTCATCCCTTTAGTGACTGCATCGAATGACCAAGATCGTCTCCTCACCATTAGCTCAGCGCAGCCTAGGCTTGCTGACCAGTCTTTATCTACACAGCCATTTGTCCAACATCTTCAGGATTAGATCTCGATCACTCTAACCCATGTTCCATCCACTGTAATTAACTTGTCTTAATCGTGCGAGCTTTTGGATTTTCACTAGGTTCTAGCATTCCGATCTGTAGGCCAACATAGCATGGATCTGATAATGATTTTATATAAACGCATATCTGCTCTCTAAGTGCATATGAAGACCACAATAGCACGTTTTTTCAGCCATTACTCCCTGATGCATTTCAGGAATATCGTTTCCAAAGTTGACTTGGGTTCTAAGATCGATGAATTCTTTGACTCTCAAAATTATACTGGCCATTATACATCTGATTCTCCCACTGGTCTCTGCCAACAGGGTTCGGAAGCATATATTTAGTCTTGGCTCCATTTATGTTAAGTTCTTTTCATGAATGGAGCAGTGATCTGTGGAGCAGCAGACAATTGAAAAGTCATCAGTGAATAGATACCCATCAACATCTTGTGCCAAACATTTAGTTAATGGAAAAAAGGGTCGGACTTAAAACTGAATCCTACGGCATACCATGTCAGATCAGATGTCATTCTATCTGATTGACTATCCCCAATGCATACTGTAGTATCTGGTTTTTAGAAATCCTTATATAAATTTCTCCATGTAAACCTTTCTTCTCCATTCTTTTAGTCTTTTTAAAATATCATGTCTCCATACTGTGTCAAACGCTTTGTAAATGTCAAAATATTGTTCCGGAAATTCATTTTTGACCTAAATAAACACATTCCATTTTTTCTCTATTTTTCAATTATCAAATTCTTTCAAAAGTTATATTTACCTTTTTAAACTCTTAATAATGAGAGGTAGTTAATTATTTAAAATAAACCAAATTAAATGTACTTCAGAGGAAGGCATGTTGAGCATAGAAGAAATGACATCCACAGTCGTCCTGTATATTTACAATATTAAATATATGGAAATATGTTAATGATAATTTGTAATGTTTTGATTTCATTAGATAATCTTTAAAACTATCTCATATTTCTTACAAAACATTTGACTTGTATAGCAATATTTCACAAAATAGGTTCATAACAATAAATCAAAAATATAGCTATTCATCCAATGGAATTCAGTATTTAACAGTTTTAATAAATTATGCTTGTGCTACCATAGATGAGAGCATATATAAGTTAGATTTGTAGCATACTTAGTTAGCTCAAAGCTGTAATTGAAAATTAACAGTCCTAGACTAACATTTATTAGTCTACCCTAAGGTACCTTCACATAAAATCTGTTACTTTTATCTTCATAACATGTTAATTCCATTAAACCCTTAAAAATGTAATTATTAGATTTTTAGTAATAATTATAATATCTCTACTATTAAAAAATAATTATTACATTAATTCATAGTTGATTTTATGTTGTAAGATATACTTATATTTTATTTATTAATTGTTATATTTTTAGGTGGTTGTTACTAATTCAATACCTCATGAGCTGCAGAAACTCCAATGTCATAAGATCAAAACTGTTGATATCAGTGTTCTTCTATCCGAGGCTATCAGACGTATTCATAATAAGGAATCTATGTCCTATCTTTTTAAAAATGTTACTTTAGAAGATTGAATATGTTGACTATCTATAGTTGTGTTAAAGTGTATTTATCCTTTCTCATAGGTTATTAAAATTGTTTTGTTGTTATATGGCAGTTGTTATGTTTATAAAATTAATTCAAAGTTCTGTTTTAAGCCTCAGTTTTCACAATTGGAAATCTTAAAATTTAATTGTAACATACTGAAGACTGAGCATCTTTTTCAATGTTTAGGATAACAGAAGTTTGAGAAAATTAAAATACCCTTAATTTTTTCTTTGTTTTATTGTTCACTATGTTTTGATAAATTAGTCTTTTATTTGTTTTTTTGCTTTATTGACCAATATACTTGGAAAGAATTTTTAAATCAATGGAAACTGATTTATCTATTGTTTTATTTTTCATGAGACAGACAAATTTATTTTTCCACATAACTCTACTATATTTATGATAATAAAAATTATTAATCAATTATAAATTATTAAACATTGTTGTTATCTGTGAATCAATAATTGATTTTTCTTTCTGTTGATTAAACTAAAATCACTTATTAATTCTAATTGTTATACTAGAAACTTTCTATGTTAGTAGTCAACATTTCAAAGGCTATTTGTGCTACTAATATTTGAACTTATCTTTTTTTGTCACCAAAGATAAATAAAACTGGTTTTGATTATTACTTAGTTCTTTTTTTATCATTGTTTTCTTATTATTATTTATTTGAAACCTGTTTGCCTGCTTTCTAATTACTATTTATTTAAAACCTCTTTGCCCGTTAGACAATACAGATGTTTGCAACAGTGTAGAGCTATGCGTGCATGTGTTACAACCCAACTTCTTTTTCTTGATAGGCGCTACACTACACAACAAGGCTACTTATAACAACTTCCATCAGTCATCCCTTTAGTGACTGCATCGAATGACCAAGATCGTCTCCTCACCATTAGCTCAGCGCAGCCTAGGCTTGCTGACCAGTCTTTATCTACACAGCCATTTGTCCAACATCTTCAGGATTAGATCTCGATCACTCTAACCCATGTTCCATCCACTGTAATTAACTTGTCTTAATCGTGCGAGCTTTTGGATTTTCACTAGGTTCTAGCATTCCGATCTGTAGGCCAACATAGCATGGATCTGATAATGATTTTATATAAACGCATATCTGCTCTCTAAGTGCATATGAAGACCACAATAGCACGTTTTTTCAGCCATTACTCCCTGATGCATTTCAGGAATATCGTTTCCAAAGTTGACTTGGGTTCTAAGATCGATGAATTCTTTGACTCTCAAAATTATACTGGCCATTATACATCTGATTCTCCCACTGGTCTCTGCCAACAGGGTTCGGAAGCATATATTTAGTCTTGGCTCCATTTATGTTAAGTTCTTTTCATGAATGGAGCAGTGATCTGTGGAGCAGCAGACAATTGAAAAGTCATCAGTGAATAGATACCCATCAACATCTTGTGCCAAACATTTAGTTAATGGAAAAAAGGGTCGGACTTAAAACTGAATCCTACGGCATACCATGTCAGATCAGATGTCATTCTATCTGATTGACTATCCCCAATGCATACTGTAGTATCTGGTTTTTAGAAATCCTTATATAAATTTCTCCATGTAAACCTTTCTTCTCCATTCTTTTAGTCTTTTTAAAATATCATGTCTCCATACTGTGTCAAACGCTTTGTAAATGTCAAAATATTGTTCTAATGCAGTGGTTACATTGGACACGTAAATCGTACGACATGATGAAAAAGGGGCTCACCACTGTCTGTTCAAAAAAAATACAACTTCCGTGGCAACGTTACGTCCCGGATTTCTAATTCATACATCATTTCATGTTCAACCTTGTCCAATATTCATACTAAATAATAGTTTAACTTTATGAAAAATTTTTTTTCATGTATTCCAATTACTTAATATTAATTTCAATATTATTTATTCTGTAGATAACCCAAAATTAATTCAATTCAGTATAATAAAAATAATTTACATTAATGAAAATGAAAATATATAGCGACTTTTAATAGAATAAAGAGTAAGTAAATAGAATTGAACATTAAAAATATTATACTTTTTTTTTTAATTTCATCCTTTTTTTAAATATTTCAAAGATAAAATAAAACTTATATCTTATATATTACTTCTGAAGGGTGTTTTTCTGTCAGTACGCCATATCGTCAATTCTTCATCAAATCCAATGATTGACCACTCATTTAAGATATACTTCTCCTTCGCATAATTATATCTCCCTGAAATTTCTGAAAAACAAATTTATGAAGGAAAAGAAACTTTATTTGCGAATAACTTAAAAAGTATGCACTGTAGTAAAAAGTATGAGATTCTGAGGCAGCAACTCTTTATTTATCTATGGAGGGTACAGTGGGAGGAATTAGGACTAATCCTGATACGATAGTCTATAATGTATGAGGCAAATTCTAAAACTAAGGTACGGTGTCCAATATTTAACTGATGATAGGCTTGAATGAAGTTTCATGTTTCTATCTGCGAACGCTTTAGGAAGCTACTGCAGTATTGGTTTGATTTAGTAGTGGTTTGCTAGTTAGTGAAAGCAGATAGCGATGGCCGAGACAAACGTAGAAGTGCATGGTGCGATTAGATTTTTGTTGGCAATAGAATCGTCAATTCTTCATCAAATCCAATGATTGACCACTCATTTAAGATATACTTCTCCTTCGCATAATTATATCTCCCTGAAATTTCTGAAAAACAAATTTATGAAGGAAAAGAAACTTTATTTGCGAATAACTTAAAAAGTATGCACTTTTTCTTGATTGTACCCATGATAATTAGAAAGATTTGCCTGCTAAACAAAAATAAATTGTAAAAAACGGACAATTATTAACAAAGATACAGTCCAGTAGATTTGGTATACTTAATAATTTCTTCCTCTTTAAAGATATTGCATTTACTACTCTTCTACTCTTTTTTTTTCTTGCTGATATATACATTATTATTTCTTAAATGCATTTTTTTGGTGGTACTTTTTATGTTTTTTAATAATTTAGAAAATCCCATGATCGAGGCTTTATTTTAAATATTACCTTTCCAGTCAGCATTTAAA